TGTATTATTTTCATGCAATGTCTAATATGCAATTGTACGAGTTGTACATTATATATATTGTTTGTGTCTTGTTTCACAAGCATTTGAGACTACAATGTAAACTTAAGGTGTGTAGCTCTTTTCTAAAATTGTTGAACTGTTGCTTAAATTTGTTTAATTTATCCCTCAAATGTCAAGTTATTGTCAACATGGCATATTTGAAAATGTTGCAGGCTCGGTTTCATTGAGCCTGTTCATGGAGGGTACTGGTGAGTGTAAGTTAATCTACACGCCCCCTAGCACCGGCCCAAGCAAAATTCAACATTTTACATAATCTGGTGAAATTTGGAATTTTGAAACATCCGCAGATGTGTTCTTTTGGCGTAGATCTTCCGTAAGCTAGTCGGATAGCTACATAACATAAAACAGTCTCAAGTTCTGCCAGGGTGAATGTTAGGTGGTTTTAAGTCAAGATGAGGATAAATGGAATCAATTTTATTGATTGAACATTGTGAATCATTGTCTTAAGTTAGCATAACTATCATAAATGAAGTATTTAAAGTTATTATAGCACAATGCATCTAGAATTGCAATTGGAAGAAAATGGTTAGCAAAGTTACCTGCGAGTCAAAGATATCGTTTTCAGCCTAACATACAACGCTATTAACGTTCACAACCGCGTTGTTTGTTCCGTGTTGCGGCTGTTATAAATATCTCAGTTCATATATAAACACTATCGTTATGTTTCCATGCTCAAATGATTGTTTCGCGTTCATTGTAGTGTTGTCCACCTGTTCTGCCCTGCTTATGTAGCCTGTATGTATGTGTTTTAAGCTGGATGCCTTACTAACAGTCAAACATCAAAAGGTCTCATCTGGTCTTGTCTTTTGTAAGTGTCATTATGACTGTGCCTCTGTTGCTTGGTTTAACCAAAAACTTTGAAAAATCAGTTACAGGTTTCCCAAAATAAATTGATAAGGAATGTTCTGGATCTGGATCCAGGTCACATATAGGTCATGACCAGTTTTTGAAGGTTGAACGGTTACCAGTTGCTAAGAGGGTTGACAAAATTACCCTTTCTCTTGTGTTTAAAATCCATTCTGATAAGGTCCTTTTATGTCTAGGCGAACAGTTCACTACAGTGAGTAATGTTCACAAATACCTCACTAGGTCCAGGGGCAAACTTTGTCGCTCAATTGATGGTGATGTACTGTTCCTGTTGTCAAAACACTTTTAGTTACATTGGTTGCTGTTTATGGAACTCTCTACTAAAGAACATAAAGGACACCCATTTCATTATCTGTTTAAAGCATAGAGGTAACAAGCACCTCCTTAGTGCTGTTTAAATGTATTTTTCTAGTTTGTCTTTCTTAACTGCCATCATGTTCATTTGAATTCGTTTACATTTTTAGTAAATTAAGTTATAACATTTCTATATATTCTGTATTTTTTCCACTCTTTAAATTGTATGCTGTAACCCAGCACTTTGATAATGTTTCTTATTGTGCTTATTATATAGAAACTTCGAATACACAGTGTATACCTTTTTATATATTTTAAACCACCATATTAACTTATAATTTTTCTATGTCTCATAATGCCATATTTTAAGGACCACAATAGAAATAAGAATCTAGAATGAGTCATAACACTCCTTTTTGTGCTATCCTTAACATATAGTGTTAGTTGAATTTGTTTTTCATTCATACATGTTTGCTAAAAGTTGTGTGTATGTTTTATAACATGTCATTGCCATGTAGATGTATACTTATGTTGAAATAAATTTATCTTTCTATCTTTATCTAGTCCTTTATGACATGGTAATGTTTGGGGCTGCGTTTTGTGATCTTTCCTTTCATACTTTTATGATGCATCGAAATACCGGTGTATTATTTTTATTTTCTATGTTTAGTAAACAAATGCCATCAGGTAACAACATGTCTTTTATACAACTCAATTATGTTAAAATCGGATATATCTTTTTTTCAAATTTCAAATCAATAACAAAAGTGTTACATTCATTATTTTCCAATTTTGAACGCATCATGATGTCAATAAAGTTTTAAGATTTCATAGTACTTACTGATCTTACATTGATTCATAATGTCAAATATTATTTAACCAAAATGACATTAAATTTTCTATATGGAATAGACAATTTGTAGTTATACATAATTAGAGCGTAGGATCTCTTTTCAACTTACTTTTTTGTATAAATTAAAATACTGTATAAAATAATGATATTTACATAAAACAATATAACATTTGTTTTTTGTAAAATACGATGTTTATATTAAAGATCTCAGGTAAAACTAAAATATGATAAACAAGATCAACAAGGAAAAGGTAAAGCTAACCCTACGTACAATAACTTCTGTGCAATTAATGAGATAAAGAACATTATCTTATGGATTATGCACACGTTGAGTATCGATTGCACGACTTGAGTACTGCACAAATCATATATCACGGGTAGGTTCATTTATGCAGTTGTGTGCGCAGACATGTATCTGAAATATGAATATTGTCCAGCAGTAGCTGCGTCGTAGTATCTTAAATGACTGAGTAAAATATTTATTAGTCATTTGAATTAAAAAATGGCAGGACAAAATAACTTGATAAGTGAATCGGATAATGTTCATAATAATTTATCTCTTAATGATGATTTTCATGTACTAAATAATTTTGAAATGAACTTGTTGGCAGGGAAAATGACCTTGAAAAGTTACACAAGGAATCGGAAGTTTTGTAGGATTTGGTATATTTGGAATAAAATCAGTCGGCAAATCAAGGCTTGTGAAAGAATATTTGAAGAGATTTAAACCAGACGGAGTCAAAGTCATACATATAGATATCAAGTTGATGCCGGATATAGTGTGTTGTATTTAAACATCTGCGCAGCCCTTGGGAACTAGTCCTGTTTTGATCAAGAGTTTCGGCTGGGGTTAAATGACCAATGAATGCATGATTATTATGCTACTTTTTTCTTTCAAATTCTGCACCAAAGAAGAAACTCGGAGTTTTTTTCTCTTTGACAATACAGAGGACTATCAGGAACTTGAAATCTAAATATGGGGTGTTCCTTTCATTTTTTAAATTATGTACCAACAATTTTGGTAAAAAAATGTAAAAACGTTCGGGTTTTTTTGTCACGTGTTTCCTTTCAACTAACAATTTTTCAGTTATTCTTAAAGCTTGAAAAGGGTTTATTCAGTTCCATTTTAACTGCCTTTTGAATGAAATTTTAAAGCAAGGCAGCTACTGGGGAAAAATTGTGACTTTCGGAAGATGACCTAGGAAGACTGTGAGGAGTTTGCGACTGGGTAAAGCTTAGTGAAGGATTCTCCACTAGCTGATCCTTATGATCGGATCCAAGAGTTAAAGAAGACGCAGGGATGAATAACTTCCGAAAAATATCTGGGGTCCGATCTTTTTAAAATCTGCTTGTAAGACTTCCCAAGGTAAATTGAAGTAGAGAAATTTTTTATCCAGCAAGGAAGATACAGAGTTCGGTTAAAAGTTTTTTGACCTTTCCAAAATCTTAAAATCCATCTAAGTTAAACATAATTGTCAGTTTCAATATCATTTGTTTGTATTTTTTCACGTTGTTTTGTTATACATATGAAGTACCAAACTAAATTAAATTACAAAAATACATCACATTATTTGAAATTCATATATAAGTTTGTAAAGATTTTATTTCATTGTACGCTTCTTTTTGGTATGGTTTTAAAACACAGAAACTGTAAATACCACACTACTACTGTTGGTGTGAATACCTAAGATGCCGCCATACTGTTTTTACTTTATGTTCAAGCCTCCTCGGCATATATGAATCATAGTTCAATGCAATGCGTCATATGAAGTCATTTACCTTATCCACTCTTCGATACTCTGGTTATAGATTTATATGCTGGAATTAATTTGGTTACAGTTTAGTTTTCTTGATTGCTGACATAAAAGTAATATCAAATAATTGTTAAATTATTATACATGTATATATTTCAAATAAACCTACTTTCTGTTGTAAAATACTATGGTTAGATATGTTATAGCTGGAAGAAGATTTATATTTACCATCCTTGACCTTTTTTTTATATTACTTGTTTTACACAAGAATTCAGATAAAGGAAATTAAAACGATCGTAGCAAACGCAGTTTGCCTGATTTATCAGGGCTATAAAAACTTGTGGTTGTTACATTTTTTCCAAGTTATAAAGATTGTTGGTATCAATATAAATCATGAATGCTCTACATAATGGTTTAAAATAGAAATATGTCGGTCTTAGATAAAGGGTACTTTCTCAAATGATATAATCTTGGTAAACTTTTTTAATTTTTTTTTTTTGTTCTCTGATTTAATAGAAATTGTAGTACTCTAAGATGGGCGGTTTTAATCCATTGAAAAAAAAAGTAAAAGAATAACATTAAGCTCCCGAAACTTTATAATAACTTAGCGCCAATCATTTATATGCTAAAACTTGTCGCAGTTTTAGTAGGCAAAATATATTGATTGAATCTCATGTTAAATATCTAAAATATGATAATAAAAGAAATTACAACTTTAAAAGAATTCAAAGATATTGATATCACATTTCAGCATATTAATTTCATTGTATGGCCTACTGACCTATACATTATTGCCGTTATCTCTTTTGTCTTAGTTTGTATGAATTTGATTATTTTGCTTGATTGTATTCGAAGCTATAAGCTTATTGAAACACTCTCGAACATCTTGTATATGCATGTCTTGCATAAGAACTTTAGTGATGGATTTATAAATTACATATGTTCCATCCCTTAACAATATTCAGTAAAACACTTAGATAATTTATAACAAAAATGTACAGGAGACTTAAGTGAAAATTTTTCTTCAGTTTCCTTTATACTATATATTAAAAAGGCGTTACATAGAGCATATATTATAGAAACATTGGATACGATTAAAATATTATGTTGCTACATTTTGAACTTAAGAATATTAATTGTCATATAAAATGAATAACTGTTTATGCTTGTAGGAGATGTCTATAGGAAGTTTCTTGATCGACTTGACGAAGTGTATAAGAATCATCTCACAGTTTTAGATTACATCCCGGGAACATTCAGTGCTAAACAGGCACAACTTATACTTGGTACAATTTAATACAAGGCCTGTAAATATATTAATTGATAAAATACAAGATTTTGATAAATTTTTTGTGTATATGAACTCATTAAACATTACTTTTTATCTCACCTAACATAAAGTGGCAAAGTGAGTTTTTGTGACACCGCGCTGGCTGCCGTTCGTCGTCCGTCCGAGCGTTAACTTTATCATTAAAAAGTACCGCTTGGCCAAATTCAATGAAACTCAGCAGGTTGTTCTATACATGAAGCTCTACTAACGTTGTCATAAAAATAAATTCCTTGAAGAACTCTGGTTGCCACGCCTTTGATATTTGGTATGTAATATGATCTAGTGGTGTTTAAGGAGTCCCGCCAGGGTGGGTGGGGGTGTTCTCATCACTTTATATAAAGTTGAATAGGGAAATGTTTAAAAACTCTTGTTGTCAAAATCTACAATGCCTAGAGTCTTGATATTTGGTAAGCAACATGATCTCGTGGTCCTCTACAAAGATTTCAAAATTATGCCCCTTTGATCAAAAGGGGCCCTGACATTGGCCTTATCAGTTTTATATAAAGTTATATAGGGAAAATCTTTTTGTCAAAATCTCCAATGCGTATTGTCTTGACAATATTATTGTATACATTGGATCATTGATGCCAACACTATGAAGTGTTGAGAATTAAGTACCGCTCAAGCCGGTGCTAGGGGGCGTGAGGGATGTTGCACTTATACATTGTCCCTCATGTACAGACTCAATCAAACCGAGTCTGCAATTCTTATGCTATTTTGTTGTGATTAATGCTTCCGAGGGATCACTTTGTTTCCAGAATTTTGTACTTCACAACAGCAGGTGTCAAGTGCCGTGTGGCAGCCGTAAAAAAGTGCCCCGTACTTCACTTCAGTGTTGTTATATTTTCTGGTCCTTCGGGATCATTGATGCCAACACTATGAAGTGTTGAGAATTGAGTACCGCTCAAGCCGGTGCTAGGGGGCGTGAGTGATGTTGCACTTATACATTGTCCCTCATGTACAGACTCAATCAAACCGAGTCTGCAATTCTTATGCTATTTTTGTGATTAATGCTTCCGAGGGATCACTTTGTTTCCAGAATTTTGTACTTCACAACAGCAGGTGTCAAGTGCCGTGTGGCAGCCGTAAAAATCACTTTGTTTCCAGAATTTTGATATTTGGTATATAACATAATCTAGTGTTCCTCTAACAAAGATTGTTCAAATTATGCCCCTTGGATAAAAATCCACAAGGCCTACAGCTTTGAAATTTGGTATGAAATAAGAACTAGTGGTCGTCAACAAAGATTGTTCAAATTATGACTCTAGGGTCAAAAGGGGCCCTGTCAGGGGGTTCCTTAGTTTAATATTAAGTTATATAGGGAAATTTTAAAAATCATGTTGTCAAAATCGACAAGGCGTATAGATACAAATATTGTTCAAATTATGCCTCTAGAATCGAAAGGGATTCTGCCAGGGCGCTCATCAGTTTCATATAAAATTTTATAGGGAAAATCTTCTTGTCAAAATCCACAAGGCGTAGAGCCTTGATAAAAGGGACATAACATGATCTAGTCGTCTTCTACAAAGATACCCGTAGAATTAAATAGGTCCCGCCAGAAGGCTTATCGATTGAAAGAAAATTATTAAAACTTCTCGTCAAAAATCACAGGACCTACAGCTTTGATATTTGGTATGTAACATGTCCTAGTAGTCCTCTACAAAGATTTTATACAAATTATGACCCTAGCGTCAAAAGGGGCCCTGCCAGGGTGCTCATCAATTTTATATAAAGTTATATAGAGAAATTTTAAAAACTTGTTGTCAATATCCACATATTTGCTATGTAACTTCATCTAGTGGTCCTCTACAAAGATTGTTCAAATTATGCCCCTAGAGTCAAAAGCGGACCCTCCAGGAAGTCATAAATTTTACTTTGAGTTATATAGGTCTAGAGCTTTGATATTTGGTATATAACATCATCAAGTGGAACCTTGTGAATCTTTTGTGAGCGATCCTCTGGGCCCTCTTGTTTATATATATTGTTTGCATTTCTATAAAATTTTCAATAACTTTTCATTAATGAAGAACACTGATTTGCTTTCAATCACGTTACGTCTCAGAAACAATTAAATTTTCCATCCTTCAGCAAAGACAAACATGAATTTTATAACATTTAAATCATGGTTTAGGAGCACATGAAAGCGTTTAATCTGAAACAATTTGTCTTTAAACAAGCAAAATGTAAACAAAGAATTATTTTGACTTTGATACAAAATACCAAATCGCTATAACTGAACTAATTGTCAAAAAGCAGCAGAAGGAAAAGATTGTTTAGTTTATTGGCAAATGATTATTCTACTGAAAAATCTAAAAGTACACCAAAATAAAATGCTTTTGAGAAATAGAAATTAAAGTATTTATGGGCCTTTTAAATCAAAATTATTAAATCAAAATGTCTGATGGCTAATATGTAGTTAAGCCATATTTAAGTTATTTTATTTAAAACTAAATAAGCAAGATAAAAAGACTGTTTGACTGCATGTGCGTAGGTATGAAATCTGGCGTGAACTTAGTAAGCATTTAATGCTGGACTCTAAAAGTAACAAAATAAATGATCTTGGAGGCTAGAAATATTTAAACAACACCGGAATTTTGGAGGACTACATTTTACAGATGCTGTTGATTTTGGTATTGTATCCATATATTATTATAAACGTATACATTTTGTATTATAAATTTAATTTTACAGATATAAATACAGTAGAGATGACCATGGAGGAAACTTTACTGCCTGCACGCAGACGTAATATTCTTCATTATGACCTACAAACAAAACGATTTGGAATTCAAGGAATTCTACGCGAATGTATAAAGTCATTCTACATCATTAAAAATTTACCAGGTATACGCATGTCGTTTGATATGAAAATCAATTAAACATTTAAATATGATAGTTTGACGTTTGAATTAGATTAAAGAATGTGATGAAATATATAAACAAAATAAAATATAAAACAAAACTGAAAGTGACGATTAAGTAGACAGGTTCCAAATGACTCTAATAAGTGTGACATTAAACTAAGTAAAATGATATTAAATTTAATATCGCTGCTTAAACAGAACATTTGCATTCATTCTCTACACTTTTTGTAAAATCAATTGTTTTGTCAATTACAGAAGTAAGACGAAGATACATACAAATCTTTTCTGCTGTAATGATCAATATCTCCAAGCGTCTAAATACATCTGATTATACAAACGCTATGGCGGAATATTTTATTGAACAACCGAACTTACAGAAGCTGCTGATTGAAGTAGAGAACACTGCTGAGGACAATTATAAGTTCTTCATAGAAATGGTGATCAACTGTACCAAAATAATTGAACAATTTATGTCTGGTATGTTAACACTTTATCAGAGTGCACTAAAGACAGGCATGATTAGATATATTTTAAAACAGTTTGCTTTTGTATCATTACCCTCGAAGGATCTCTCCCTACAGGAATTTGTGAATCATTGATAATCCTTAATGCCAGCTTCTTCTTTTTTATTGTAGGAAATGGTCAAGTATTTTATGAGCACTGTTTACAGGCTGCGGAAAGGTATGGCAAGGACGAGGATAAGGCAGCGATCAACATTGCTGTTGGAAGTTTATACACAAATATTACGGTAATTTGAACACAAATATATACAAGCAGTTGAATAATTTGTTTCTGTTTTTACAAAATTTCATATTTCAAGGTTAATTTACTGTATACATGTGCATCTCTACCAAAGTCATGTATGTGTGCAAACAAAAGAATGAACATATGATAAATTTGGTATTTACATGATAGAAATGATTAAGTATATTAAAAGAAACAGCTCACAAACATTTTGAATATGACATAATTAAAATATGCCCTAGGGAAATTTACTCGGCGGAAAATCACACTACAAAGCGGCATTGGACATTCTAGAACATCGAGGTGAAAGATCATTACTCCTTGCAACAACTTATCAAAGGATAGGTTGGAACACACACCTTCAAGGAAAAAACACTAATGCTATAAGGTATACATGTATAAGTGATTAAAATATTTTTAACGGTGACTTTGAGAACGCATATCTGCGTGTAGGACTTCAAGTTGTTTACGTTTTTTATGAATGTAATGTAAGAGTTAAAACATGTTCTCTGCTAATTATACATTTTATGCATTAGTTACTTCGTTCTTGCGACTTTTCATTTTAGGCAAACATTTCTAATCTCTAAACAAATAAATATCTAGCAATGGCTTTAATGCACCTTATCACTCGTAAGCAAATTAATCAGAAGTACATTATTGCTATCATTTTAGATATTTCAAGAAATCATTGGCAATAACTATGATATCGGGGGAAAAGTTCAAAGTAATTGCTGTACAATCATTAAACAGTATGGGTGTATCTTATACGTTTTTAGGTTTGTGTTTTCACATTTATTTTCATATGAAATCAATTAACTAGTAACTAATTTAAGTTGCAGCTGTAAATGCTTCAGTTACGTGCATGACAATGAACTGTGAAATGCTCGTGATGTGATTTATCATTAAAAATGTATTTTTTTTCTCAAACAGCCCGTTAATATGATTTGAATGACTATGTAAATTTAGAAGTTTCCATTTGACAACTTCTTTTTCTTCCTTAAAGATATTTTCCTTTCTATCATTTCATAAAAAGAATCCGTCTTTTCAGGGAAATTCAAAAAAGCAGAAAAGTACCACTTTCAATCATTGAAGCGGTGCCGAATGTTCCTTGGTGAGAGTCATCCAGGAATAGCTGCTTGTTATAACAACATTGGGGAAATGTATGATTTAAAAGGTGACACTGAAAAGGCAATGGAATACTATAAAAGAGGACTTGATATGAAACTACAATGCAATGCTCCTGTTCTATCGACGGTTCTCTCCTTGTGCAGCACAGCTAAAATGATGATCTCTTTAAGTCAATTCAAAGAGGCTCATTCACTTCTAGATGATGGGAATGAAAAGTTGAAGAAAGAAAAGCTCCCCCCGAAAGAAGCCGAAGCGTGCATATGCCACACTAAAGGTTTGGTCTATAAAGAAGAAGGTCGTTATAAGGACGCAAAGGAAATGTTCCGGAAAGCAGTAGATATTAGACAGAACATTGCACCAAATAATATCCAGTATATTGAGAGTTTATCGCATTTGGCAGACATATATAAGATACAAGGCTATTTACCAAGTAGTTTGAAATATTGTGAAAAGGTTTTACAACTTAAGGAACAAGTAATAACTTCAACGCCCCACACGTTGGTTATTGCCGATACTTTCGATCGAATGGCTGACATGTACAAGAAACAAGATAATACGCATAGATACGTTGACACCCTAGAGGAATTAGAATCAGAACTTCTTCGTTTAGAGCGTGTTTTCCTTTCTCATCAAAATGACAGAGATTTGTATAAAATACGGAATAGACTTAGAGATTTAGATGCCTGTTTTAAAGTGGTTCATTGTGGCATATATACAAGGGAATAAGATTGTTTAATAAAAAATAGTTAAATGCAGAGTTACTCAATCCAATAGCTAAATATCTGTTTTTGTACTCATGTGTAAAGTTCCTTTTTGAAATAATGCATAAATAGACAATTGAATTCACCTTCCCGTATTAAAATTGAAAAATAGCCTTTACCTCACCATAGTTTGACTTAAATATGAACCACATTATGAGCATTTATCATTTTGCTATAATGTATATAACTACTGCTTTTGATCATAGAAATACATGAAGGGTTCACACCCAAGCAGTTTTCTATGTGTTTATTTTTGGTAACTTTCAAAGCATAATTTATACTTTATTTCTTATACCATATTCTAAAGTTACATTTACCAGCAATGATAGAACTAAAGCCTTGACATTATTTCCTTACTAATACGATACACGGACACGAGGGATGGAGTTCTTATAATAACTTGTAAAGGAGTTCTTGTGATAACTGTCACGGAGTTCGTTGGAAAATGTTTGTATATACTGCATAAATACTCGTCAAAAATGGTACTTTTCATCTTAAAAAAATGAGTTTTAAGTGCTTAATTAATCTTTAATGATTAAGCTTGTCTTACATATTGCATTATGTGTCAAAAACTAATTCATAGTCCATTTTTCATCGCCTCTTGCTTAAAATCTGGTAGTTTTGAGTAAAATTTCCAAATTATTTGCCATTTCGCGAGTATTTTCCTTTTTATTTTAAGTCTAAATCCTTGCCATACATAAGTACCTAATTATAATGCAAAATTGCAAACATAAAGCCCCGACTAACAAATCTATACCCGATTTTTCAAATGTCCCGGAATTCTTGTGAAAACTCAAAGTATGTTCTGGAGTTTACGGAAATATAAGAAATATTTTGTCTATGCAAACGAAATAGGGTTACTCCTACATTTTCAAATTTTACTAACAGCTATCAATTGGGTTCGACAATATATGAAAATGCAAATTAAAATGAAAATAAAAGAAATTATTCGACACTTTTGAGATCGGGTATACGGTTACATTGTTTTTTTTCTTTGGTTCAATTGACACATTTAAACATTATTTACAAGCTTGGTAAATGTACATTTCCACTTATACAATGTTTATATTGCACTGTCGTTGTCTTCATGAAAATGCTTTTCGTAGCATGTTGGGCAATTTGTTTGTTCGAATATGCAATAAAAATGTTATGATTCGGAAGAGTTTCAATGTATTTGGCATAAGACCTTGAGTATATGAACACTTCAGCTAAGCATTCTAAACACGTTGACAAGTTTTATGTGGTGGCATGCCATTTTCCGGCATTAATTTCTTTGATATTGAAAACATTCCTTGAGACTTTTAGACAAGATATTTTATGTTTCTTTCGCTTGTGTAAGTTTGCTGTGTGCCGACATTCTTGAGATAGGTAACACTTCTCGTGGAAATTTCGTATTTTGTATCTGAAGTTTTCTAGAAGACATTCTCCTCAGATGAGCTGGAAACCGATAAACAGATAAACTTTGCCTTTTCTGTAATGTGTTCTTCATAACTGCTGTGAAAATGCGGCATTATCCTGCCCGAATTTCTATAATAAAATAACACAACAACAACAACAACAACTACATTGCAAGTATGCGAGAAATTGCAACAAACATTCAATTTGTAGGAAATTCACAATATTTTAGATAATTGTAGGTTGTTTTTGTGTTAGTTGCATAGGGATGAATTAATAACCATCATTTCGATATACTGTCGTAGAACTTTATGTTCTCTGAAAATTACAAGTTTTCAGCAAGATTTGTTTGATTCATTTACAAGCAACGTTACTGTCACTAAGCTAAATCTGCTAATTGTGTTGATTCGTAACCTACTAAGTTAGGCTATGCTTTTGACCTACATAGCACGAGTTGTTCAGGAAATGACTGCTTCAACTGTATTATTTCTATGAGAATGAATAAAGTTTTTATATGCATTTGAATAAATTATGATTTTCAGTCTATAACAGAATAATAACCTGGTATATTCTTGATCGTGTAGAATGTTTTAATAGACTCTCGAAGTATACCCTGTATGTTAAACATTCTCGTGTTGGAGTCATAATTCAGTATATGTCGTCTCCGTATTGGAATAAGTGTTTGATCTTTCACCGTTGCAATTGATTGGGAATCTGAAGAACAATATATTTTGTATATTTCGCATCAGAAATAATATTAAATAAATATTAACTTGATTGTTTGATGTATCATCGTTTCATTCTTTTTAAAATAAAAATTCTTATAAATACTTCCAAAATAATTGCTGGGTCCGTTACTTTTGCTTAATGTTAAAAAGCGATCTTGAATACTTAGTATTCCCTTGGCTTGTTCTGCGTTAAACGATCCAGGAATATATTCGAATATAGTCAGTCGTCTCTTGTATACAGTATCTAAGCGGTCAATGAACTTTTTACACACGTCAGCTGTAAAAATGAATACCATGTTTGATCTTTGTTTTCAATATTAACTAGCCTTATAACCATACATCTCATAGGCAAAACAAAACTATATGAATTAAATGTAGAATCTTTTTAAGCTCAGTAAATATATTAACATAACCCGTAAATCTGCATCATTATAAAGTGCTAAATACATATTTTAAGTACCTTGACAACATATGACCGATTAGGTTAACATGTGTCACAAATGTTTTGTATTGTAATGTGGGGTACATTAGAATTTCAAAAGACTAAAAAGCAGTTATTACCGACTCTATCTTCCTCCGGGTAAAACTTCCGACTCAGGGCTTTCAGTCTACAAGTGAGCAAGAACTTGACAATGTCATTTGGTGTTGTCATGCCACTGTCCTCCGTTAGCTCAGATCCGACCATTAGAATTAGTAGAATCATCTTTTCACATAAATCCGCAATATCGTCCTCGTAATTTCCTACGTTCTACTCCTTTAATGACAATTTTACGTAACTGGCGCGTCTCACTTTGGTTTAGACTGCAGTAGACCTTTTTAAGCTGTGCAAATTGTACACGTGTTGTAGATGTAATGAAAATTTTCACATTAGAGCATTGACGAACCACACTTGTACACAATGAAAAGAGGAAGTCTGGAATATCAGTACCCTTTAAGTCTTGACAATCTTCGGTGATATCAAAGAAAATAATGAAACGTTTTTTACCGGCTGTTTTTATACTGTCACAAATATGATAAATCCACCTGCTGGACTGTGCTGCTTGTAACTCCGGTTCAATGCCATAACTCGCACATATCCTCGAGTACAATGAGTTTGTTTCAGATATCAACCTCATATCTATGTAAATACGAACAAAGCTACCTGTCGACTTTGTCCTTTTTAAAAACTCTGTCTAGTCTGGATTTTTCAACCGATCTCAGTCCAAAAATGCCAAATATTTTGTGCTTCTGCCATGCTGTCTTTAACACATTCAAATCATTTTCTCTTCCCACAAATTCTGCTTCAATATCAATTTCGTCATCAAAGTTATTCTCAAACATTTCCCGGGATATTCCATTATAAGAACATCATATGAACAGTTTACTGTGAATGTCTGCCATGTTTCAACTCTTCATATGTTAAAGGTATGTTGTGGACACATTTATATAAACTATTCAACCGAACACGAACTTAGGTTTTCTTAGAGTAGTTAAATACACCTTACCTACACACTTTCCTTTCGGTATATCCAGCTCACGTGCTTATTAATAAATATAACATTGCCATTGATTTAACAGGTAAATGGTAAAATGTAACAGATGAATAAAAGAACAAATGATCATATAACTATCGGTAGATCTATATAACATTTCACATTACACGCTAGACGGTTCATGTATAAAGTACGTGTACAGCGTAATGAAAAATAATCATTTTATTTGCTACAGTGTTACTCACTATCTACTTAAAACACCACTGACCTGCATGTGCGAGTATGATTTAAAGGCTAATTAATATAACAATAAGGTAAAAGCATTTAAATACGAATAGATAAAAAAAACTTTATTTAGCATATGATGCAAATTTAATAAAAAGTACTTTGTTTGCTAGTTTTGAAAAAAATATATCTCCGTTGCGCCAATACATGTTTGCCAAAAGGAGATTTGAGCGGTATTACAACAATACAATGCTTATAATCCATCGGCGCAACGGAGTTTATGAAAGGTATAACAAAATACAATAAATGTTTATAATAAAAAAATACTTAAAGCTGATTCTGAAATTTCAACATATGACTTTATTTAGCATATGCTAATGCAAATTCAATAAAAAGTACTTTGTTTGCTAGTTTTGAAAAAAAAAAATCTCAGTTGCGCCAATGATTTTTTGCGCAACGGAGATATAAGCGGTATTACAACAATATAACGCTTATAATATAGAAACTATTGTTTTTAGTATTATTTTATTTAACACATACTAATTTAAATTTTAATAAATGCATTGCTTATCGTATTTTATTGCCATATTTTTTAAATTTTGCACTCCGTTGCGCCCGTTGCGTTCGTTGCGCCAAAATATCTCCGTTGCGTATTTTAGTGGTACCGAAAAAATTTAGCATTTAAGATACATGCGTCTGTTCAAAATGATCAATGCGCGAAGTTCAAAATACTTGATAAATATGTCATACCAGTAAAAACAAAATACCCTTAGTTTAGTTTAAACATATTTATTCTCAGAATATGTACATAATAACATTTGAAATATATACACATACAAAATTTGACAATATTCAAAGAAGAGGATTAGAACGAAAGACTAGGTCTTATAGAATTCTTCTCCTTTTAGTTGTTAAATATTTCGGTGTCGAACTGGTGATGTAAAATTTTCTGAGAAAAATATATATTACCATACGTATAATAGAAACAAATATATATGGAGTCTGAAAGAAGTAGTAATTCAAAAGAGAAATCAAAGTGCTGCAGCACTGAATGCGACGGACATGCAACCGGAGAAACATTAAGGCTTCTTTTAGAAAAAAAAAACAAAAACAAAAACAAAACACAAAATATATAACAGAGAAAATTTGTTCCATACAAGTTCGAGATTTGTAGAGCAATATATTTTGTGTCCCAAATTGATATAATTCAGATTTTCGATTTCAAGCACTTAAATACAGAATGAAATTTATGCCTAAAAACTCTGGTAAAACTTGTAAATCAGTGTCCTTATCGATTTATTCTAAGAAATGATATGTAAATAGAAAAAAAAACTATCAACGAAATATTTCTAGAATAAATCCAGGCAAATAAACTTCAAACGTAATACATTATACATTTGAGAATGCTATTTAGAATTGCTTCGTGTTATATCATAGTGGGCATACAGACAATAAAATATAAGTCATTTGTATTTTCATTTCTCTTGGATATGTCTCATTAAAAAAAAAATTGGTTAAAATCATCAGCAATTAATAGTGTATTTCTTAGATTTTTTTTATTTACAAGGTAAAGATGTAGAGGCCAGAGCACATCGTTTTTATTTTAATTTAAATGTCACTTAAGCACTACAGTGTTTAGTTGTCCTTTTCAACTTCACACTAAATTCCATTTTCAACTAGTTTGCCTCTTACAATTGTATAGCATTTCTAAAAGTATTGCATTACAATCCGCTGGTTTATTAATTACATGTTTAATGTGTACTTCCTAATCGCCTGTCCAAAAATCAGAACAGGTGAAGCAGAATCTATTTTTAGAATAGCGAAGGTTAACTCATATCATGACCTAGTAAAATATGTAAACAAACCACAAGAATCGGAAGTAGAACTGATATTATAACTTCCTTACCATGAAAGACTGCATGGCGGTAAAGTGTCTTACATGCATTTTCAAAAATAGATATTTATACTAACCATTGTACTGTATCTAATATATTAATAACTGCTGAATATTCAGCTAAACCCGCGGTATGAGTCACGAAAATAGCTCTTCTTTTATTAATGCGCGAGTTATCCTAGAGTCACGAAAAACTTTTGATTTGTTAATAATAATGTTTTGTATAATGTAGAAATATTTATTTCCTACTAATAATGTCTTGGAACTCAGAGGTTACACCTTTATTGTAGTATAATTTGCTGTCCTACTTTTTCGACAGCGGTAAATCGTTTCAGCAGTAATTTGCATATTGCGCAATAATACTACGGGACTACAACGTTTTTATCAATAATATACGTTCATATATTAACTTGGATAACTTAATTTGAAATTGAAAAGGCTTAATATGGAAGACATTAAGATATCCAGACAAAGTATGGGAGTTTTGAAGGATCAAATTCATGTACTATTTCTTGGGCTGTTAATTGGTTTAGGACGCATTGCGCGATAGTAGCCAACGAAATCCCATGTGTAGATGACTTAGCTCTGAACGCGCCTGAGGGCGCGTCCGTCGCAAAAAGGAAAGGAGAGTCTCATAATTATTTATTATGTGTTAAATCGTTAAAGGAATATTTTAGTTTTTGCTATAAAAGACTGCACGTTAGAGAATATTGTTGAATTATCATCATCTGATAGGCCAGGGTTTCCGAAGAGAAGAATATCAAGATTGATATCAAAAGCTTGAATATTAATAAATAATTCATTTCGGTACAAGTTGTAGCGATAACATTCAAAGAAGAAGTGATAGTTGGTTTCGACTTGACCACATTCACATAAAGGTGAGGGTGATGTTTCTTAGAAAAAGATGATAATTTAAAGAACTGCATTTTGTGCGAAGACGTGTATGAACCTGTAATTTTCTGTTACCAGAATAGTTGTATTTAGGTGTGCGTTTCCTGTTACGTGTTAAGAATTTCTTGAATGATGAAAGTGTTGGTAAGTTCCGAACTTCGGTTGGTAAGTTGTTCCAATCGCGTATAGTAGAGGGAAGAAAGGAGTTGTAGTATAAAGAAGTTCGCGCATATATTCCAGCAGTATTATCAGAGTTACGTAAATTATACCTTGTATTAGTTTGATAAGGAATTGAGGAAGAGAGAAAGTCGGGAGTCAAATTGTTATGCATTTTATAAAACAGAATTAATCGGTGATTATACCGTCTTTGTTCTTATGTTTCCCAATTAAGTTCTTGAATTAGGTATTCGATAGAAACTAATCTTGTCGCACCTGAAGCAATCCTAGCACATTCATTCTGAATCTTATCTAAGCTTTCGAGTTCATATTGAAAAGCATTTCCCCAAATGACGTCTGCGTATTCAAGAATAGGACGAATGAATGAAGTGTAAATTATCTCTTAATATACCCTTAACATATGACCTACGATTTATTATTTAGAATTTTTCCATTCTGTGTTTAATATGCTATTGTACGAGTCGTACACATTTATTTCTTGTAACATAAGCATTTGAGATTACGATCCTATATTGCTATTCAAACTAGCTCTAGTTTGAAAAAATGTCCGTTTATTAATAGTAAAATAATGATCATCTATCTTGACAAGAATTGATTTATGTGATCAAAACTATATACAGAAAAATAAAAGATTATGTTCTATGCTGAATATTTTATGCCCAGAGTGTCTTCTCAAGCAAGCTCTCAAATTATCTAAGTCTTATTTATAGGTTAGTGCTTGTTATTCAGCATTTATTAACGACATTAAATCTCTCAAGAACGGCGTAGCTTACATTGTCGCTTAAAACATACATGTGCCCATCAAAAGTCTGGAGACAAGTCAATAAAAACAAGTTTTCTTGGCAAAATGCCCAATTTAATTCATTCTGAATGTATAATGATACATAATAATTCATTCATGTCACATATGAACACAAAAAACAATGCACAACTTAGATTAAAAGTCTAAAATGCCAAATTTTGTCTCATTTACCTAATAGCACAAAAACCAACAAACAGCAGTACAGAAAAGATCACACAGTAAGTGCTTAGTGTGTCCGCCTCAAGCTGCCAAAACGGCTTGAATTCTTCTAGGTATACTCTTAACTAATGTTCTACATCTATTAACTGTCAACTCATACCAGGAATCACAATCATTGACAGTTCTCTCAGATTACCATGATGCTTGTTCCCGAACTTCATTTTGATGTCATGCCACACGTTTTCGATAGGGTTGAGGTCTGGAGAATATGGTGGCCAGTTCTCCAAGCACCTAATGCTCTTCTGGGAGTGCCATTCTTTCACTACCTTTGCCCGGTGGCACGGAACACCATCATCTTGGTACCAGAACTCACTTCCATACCCTAGCAGATGAGGCGAGGGTATGGCACAATTGCTCAAAATGTCAATATAACCTTTGGAATTCAAGTTTCCATGCACGACCTCCAGAATTCCAGGTCCCTGGAAGCTCATGGCACCCCGTACCATGATTCCACCACCTTGAAATTTCACGGTTGACAAAACACATTCGTCCAAAAGAGCTTCACCTGGACGTTGTCTGGAACATGTTGACCTTGCTCTCATCGGTGAACAAAACAGTGGACCAATCCACCCATGCCCAGCCAGAATGTGCTCTAGCAAAAGCCAATGCTTCTGTCTATGATCATTGGTCAGTAGTGGCTTCTTAATGGCTTGATGACACTCTAATCCAACTTGCTAAAGTCTGCGACAAACTGTGGAATGTGAAGCATTAACTCAATCAATTTCCATGACCTCTTGAGCAATGGAACAACGAGTCTCCTGTCTTGTAAAGATTGCCTGATAAGCAAGGGGAGCGTCTCTTAGTGTAGAGACCTTTGGGCGGCCCAATCTAGGTCGATCATTGGTGACTTCAAGTAGCCTCAAATCGATCCAGGATCTTGTGAACAGTGGCTCTGGAAGAAGGAAATTGAAGTTAACCACAAAAGAAACATCCAAGGCTGATATTGTTCTTGCAAAAGAATTTTAAAGTATTCAGCAAGTGAGAAAAATCATCAATTTAAGTAACCAACCTTCCTATTCCCAGAATCTTGGCAATTTCTGAAGCAGCCACTCCTTGACTTCTCGGGGTTTTACAGCGCACTCTGTCTTCAAACGGAACCATTGTATTGTAGTGAAACATTCACTAGACTGACCATGGAAGTTATGTTGATATTTGGACAGAAATTTTTTATGGATTATTAAAGGTTTTTGAAGTGATCGAAAACACTAGTTAAGTTTAGTTTTCTCTAAAAAATATGTAAAACTGTAAGTTTGTCATATAAATATGAAAATCTTATGACTTTCTTAACATTTTTTTATGCCAAAAGATAATGAATGGAGGTAATATTATATTTCAAACAATAAAACTGCATTTGCTGGACAGATTTTGCCACGATTACCCAAAAATTAGTGAAATGTTATGTGTCTCCAGACTTTTGATGGGCACATGTACATGTAGTTTGAATCTTTAAATATACCGAACAAGTGAGACACGCTAAATAATCCATCGGGATAGTATTTAAATCATAATTTAGTACCGAATAAATGAATACAATGTAACATAGAAGGTGGAAAATGAAACAATCTCATTATGTCAACCATTGGATTGATCTGCTGTTCATAAAACAACAGAACCTGCTAAAATTGATTCTTGTAATTTATCTCAGAGTTTCTGACACCATCAAGCAATCATCAGACTCGTGATTTTTTGTTGGATTTAAAGACACGCCGACAATTTGAAAATCCATATGGCAATTTTACAGCATTACTGGTGGGAAAAGAGCTCAGGTGTCCCTCCATTCATTATTTCAGGCACAAGTGGACACTTGAGTTAAACCATTAAGGTAATTTTAACCTAGCTTGATAGCTTCCTCACATGAAACATTCCAAAGTCCCTGGTTTGACATCGAACCTGTAAAAATCTTTACAACTATATTATAATATACATGTATAAATAATAGTGTTATCTTTCCTGCTGAAATGGTTGTTCAGTGTTCATTGTGTGTTGTCCCCTTGTATTAACATGCCTATATAGCATGTATGCATCACTCTGTTTATTAAGCTGGGTGTCTTACATTAGTCCCATGAGTCCTTTGATAGGGTAATTTTGGGGCTGCGTTTAGTGAATGTCGCTTTACATTGTTGATCTTTCCTTTCATACCTTTATCATGTATCAAAAGATATCATTTTTATTTTCAATTTATGGTAAACAATTACCATTAGGTAATACCATTGCTTTAATACACACACATTTTAGACTAACTCAAATAAGTTAAAAACGATATATATCATTTCTAAAGATAAAAACAATTTAAGAAGAAGGTATTTTTAACATTCATATTTTTTCAAATTCTGAATACATCATGAATCAATTAAATTTCAAGATTTTATTCATACTCACTGATCTTATATTGATGCATAATGACAAAATATTATTTAATCATAATAATATCTAAGCTTTGCTTTATTGAAAAAACAATTTTCAATATATAATTAAGGCGTAGGATTTCTTTTCAACTTTCTTACTGTACAGTTTCAAATATTATATAAAACACTGTGGTATTTTTGTTATGTTTCCTGTGATATTGCACAGTATTTCTTTTTACATCAAACGTATATAATTTGATATTAAAATATAAAGCATATTCTTTATTTAAGACCCCGTGTAAAGCAACCCCTACGTACCGGCGCTTTTGTTCTATTGGATATCTTTTAATTCAATTCAAAAACGTTTATTTTATGTTTGTTTGATGGTTTTTGCACATGTTAGTATCAATTTCAGCAAAAAATTCACCACTGGAGTACTGCACAAATCATATATCATGGGAAGATGCATTTATGTAATCGTGTGCACAGACCTGTATCTTAAATATAAATAGTAGCTGTGTAATAAGATCTTATATTTCAATGCTAAATAAAATATTTATTTGAATGTTTAAAATGGCAGGACAAAATAACTTAACGAACCTGTTAATGTAAATGATAATTTATCTCTAAACGATGATATTCGTGAACAAAATAATATTGAAATGGACTTTGTTGGCAGGGAAAATGACCTTGAAAAGTTACATAAGGAGTCAGAAGTTTGTAGGATAGTTGGTATATTTGGAATCAAAGCTGTCGGCAAATCAAGGCTTGTGGAAGAATATTTGAAGAGATTTAAACCAGACGGAGTCAAAGTAATACATATAGACATAAAGTTGATGCCGGATATAGTGTCGTTGTATAGAAACATCTGCACAGCCTTGGAACTAGACTTTGATCAAGAGTCGACTGGATCTGACCAATGGATTCATAATATCGAGCTATTTCTCAATTCTGTACCAGGAAACCAGTTTCTGTTCTTCTTTGACAATACAGAGGACTATCAGGATACTGAAAATCTAAATATTTCTTCTTCATTTTTGAAATTATGCACCACAATGATAGAGAAATGCAGAAACGTTCAGATTTTCATCACTTCAACTACTCAAGTTCAATTTTCTAAGCTTGGAAGAGTTAATTACAGTCATGAACTGCTACCTTTGAATGAAACAGAAGCTAGACAGCTACTGGAAAACGTGACTCCGAAGATTGATCTAGGAGACTATGAGAGTGCACTGATAACGCTTAGTGAAGGATTGCCACTACTGATCCTTATGATCGGATCAGAGTTAACAGAAGACGCAGGGATGATAACTCCGAAAGATATGGTCGATCTTTTACTCACTTGTAGACTCAGAGCATTGAGTAGAGAATTTTACCCAGCGGAAGATAGAGTCGGTAAAGTTTTCTAAGCATATCAAAGTTCAAAGTGTTCAAATGCATCTTAGTTCAATATAATTGTCATTTTTAATAGCATTTATGTAATTTTTATGATGTTTTTGCTATATCTATTAAATACCAAGCGCATTCACTTTAATTTAATCACAAAAAAACAACAACATTTGAATGTTCATTTGTACACATTTTATTCAATTGTATTTTACTTTTTGGTTTGGTTTTAAATCACACAGAAACTGTAATTAATGGCGACTATAGAACTCAACATTTGGGGTCAATACCTAAGATTCCTCCATACTTGAGGTTAAAGCCTCTTGACATGTATGACTCAAAGTCCATTGCAAGGTAATTGAAGTCATTTACCTTAACCACTCACACATCGACACCCCTGGTTATATAGATATTTAATGTTCTTGATTTCTAACGTTATCGTAACATCACATTAATGTTAAATTATTTTACATGTATATTTAAACTCTTTTTCTGTTATAAAATGCGATGGTTGGATATATTACAAAAGGAATGTTCATATATTATGGCGTTTATATTTTCCTTTCTGAGTTGACATTGTTGTTATCTACCATACCAAACATATCAGGGTCCGATGTTGCAAATGAATTCTGATCTCAGGTACTTGACTAGTAAAAAACGTCACAGAAAGTACACTGACCAATGAAAATCCTGAGATTTAAGATAGAATACAGAAAAATGTTTTATAACCTCGAGGCCCGGTACTTGTTATTACTATTGGGTCTCAAAAATATAAAAGCTAATTAAATAAAATCGTAAGCGAAATATCAAACATGCTTGAGAATTTCTTTGTAGGTATTACTTTTTTGACAAAAGAGTCCAGATAAAATGAAATTCAAACGGTTGTAACAAACGCAATTTGCATGATTTATCGGGTCTGTAAAATAACTTGTTTTTGTTACATATTTTTCCAAGTCTGTCAATATAAATCATGAATGTGCTCTTCAAAACGGTGTGAAATAGAAATGAACTGGTCTTAAATAAAAAATACTTTCACAAATTATATCATCTTGGTATACTTTTCATAAATATTTTTTCTTTCCTGTGAATTTAATAGAAATTGTAGTATTCTTAGATAGGCGTATACATAATGTTATGTCCTGAAAAAAAAGAATTACATTGTGCTATAGAAACTGATAACGTGGCGCCAATCATTCAAATGTTAATACTTGTCGCAGTTTTAATAGGCACAATTTAGTGATCAAATGTCATGTTACTTTTTGTCATTTTGAATATTGACTTGCATTAGTTGTTTGATCCAGTAAAACACATAAATAAGTAATAACAAAAATGTTTAAGAGATTTAAGAAAATAATTTTCTTCAGTTTCAATAATTATTTTTATTAAAGCGTTGTAGAAAACATTATATTATAGAAACATTGAACACGTTTAAAATATAACGTTGATACATTTTGAACTTAAGAATAAAATGATAAATGTTTATGCTTGCAGGAGATGTCTACAGGAAGTTTCTTGATCGACTTGACGAAGTGTATAAGAATCATCTCACAGTTTTAGATTACATCCCAGGAACATTTAGTGCTGAACAGGCACAACATATACTTGGTAAGATTCAATACAAGGACTTTAAATTGATAATTTGAAAAATTACTTCTTTGTGTATATAAACTCACTAAAATTACTTTTTTTATAAATATTGTTTTATATTGTTTTCATCTTAAAGAAAATTTGCAATAGCTTTTCATTCGATGAAAAATATTGATTTGCTTAAAATAAAATATTGATTTGCTTAAAATAATTGTGTCAAAGATAAATAATTGGTTTTTAGAACTATAAGTTTTCAATGTATTACATATCTAACATTTTCTCATTTTGTGGAGTTTTGTAATATCTCATTTATTTTCAAAAAGTCTCATGGCAAATATGTAGTTTAGACATATTTATTACTTATTATTTAAAAGTCTTTCATTATGTAATTTTATGGCATAATGCATTTGAGACAAAAGAATCGTAAATAAGCAGATATCTCGGAAGCAATAGAAACAGAACTAAATGAGCCAGACAAAAAACTCTGTTTTACTGCACGTGCTAATGATAGAATTATTTAAACAACACCGGAATTCTGAAGAACAAGATTTTTCAGAACAATTTAAAGCATTCTGTTCATGTATTTTCATAAGCTTATATTATCAACATAATTTCACAGATATAAATACAGTGGTGATGACCATGGAGGAAACTTTACTGCCTGCACGCAGACGTCATATTCTTCATTATGACCTACATACAAAACGATTTGGAATTCAAGGAATTCTACGCGAATGTATAAAGTCATTCTACATCATTAAAAATTTACCAGGTATACGCATGTCGTTTTATATGAAAATTAATTCAACATATTTAAATATAATAGTTTGACATTTGAATACGATTAAAGAACATGATTAAATATATAAATAAAATAAAATATTAAACAAAACAGAAAGTGACGATTAAGTAGACATATTCCAAATGACTCTAATAAGTGTGACATAAAACTAAGTAAAATGAAATTAAATTTAATATCGCTGGCTTAGACAGAACATTTGCATTCATTCTCTACACTTTTTGTAAAATCAATTATTTTGTAAATTACAGAAGTAAGACGAAGATACATAGAAATCTTTTCTGCTGTAATGGTCAATATTTCCAAGCGTCTTAAAACATCTGAATATACAAACGCTATGGCTGAATATTTTATTGAACAACCGAACTTACAGAAGCTGATGATTGAAATAGAGAACACTGCTCAGGACAACTATAAGTTCTTCATAGAAATGGTCACTAACTGTACCGGAATGATCGAACATTTTATGTCAGGTATGTAAACACGTAATCAGGGTACACTCAAGACAGGCATGATTAGATATATTTTAAAACGGTTTGCTTTTGTTTCATTACCCCGACAGGAATTTGTGAATCATTGATAATCCTTAATGACAGCTGCTTCTTTTTTATTGTAGGAAATGGTCAAGTATTTTATAAGCACTGTTTACAGGCTGCGGAAAGGTATGGCCAGGACGAGGATAAAGCAGCGGTCAACATTGCTGTTGGAAGTTTATACACAAATACTACGGTAATTTGTACACAGAAATATATACAAGCATTTGAATAATTTGTTTCTCTTTTTACATAATTTCATATATCAAGGTAATTTCACTGTATACATGTGCATCTCAACCAAAGTCATGCATTTGTGCACACAAAAGTTATTAAATGTCCATGAAAAATATGTTATTTACATGAAAGAAATGGTAAAGTATATAAAACGAAACAGCTCACAAACATTCTGAATATGACATAATTAAAATGTGCTCTAGGGAAATTTACTCGGCGGTGAAGCACACTACAAAGCGGCAGTGGACATTCTAGAACCTCGAGGTGAAAGATCATTACTCCTTCCAACAGCTTATCAAAGGATAGGTTGGAACACACACCTTCAAGGACAAAACACTGATGCTATAGGGTATACATGTATAAGTGCTTTAAACATTTTAACGGTGACTTTAAGGACGCATATCTGTGTGTAAGACTTCAAGTTGTTTACGTTTTTAATGAAGCAATGATGTATTGTTCACATGAAAATATATTAAAGTAAGAGATAAAAAAATATGTTCTCTGCTAATTATACATTTTGTGCATTAGTTACTTTCTTCTTGCATTTTAGGCAAACATTTCTTATCTCTAAACAAATAAATATCTAGCAGGGCTTTAATGCACTTTATCTCTCGTAAGCAAATTAATCAGAAGTACATTCTTGCTATCATTTAGATATTTCAAGAAATCATTGGCAATAACTGTGATATCGGGGGAAAAGTTCAAAGTAATTGCTGTACAATCATTAAACAGTATGGGTGTATGTTATACGTTTTTAGGTTTGTGTTTTCACATTTATGTTCATATGGAATCAATTTACTAGTAACTAATTTAAGTTGCAGTTGTAAATGCTTCAATTACGAGCATGACAGACATGAACAGTAAAATGCTTGTAACAAATAAAAGAGACGTGATTTATTTATCATTAAAAAAATTCTCAAACAACCTGTTAATATGTTTTGAATGACTATGTAAATTTAGAAGTTTCCTTTTTTCAAGTTTCCATTTGAAAACTTTTTTTCCTCCTGAAAGATATTTTTCTTTCTATCATTTCATTTGAATAAAAATAATCCGTCTTTTCAGGGAAATTCAAAGAAGCAGAAAAGTACCACTTTCAATCATTGAAGCGGTGCCGTATGTTCCTTGGTGAGAGTCATCCAGGAATAGCTGCTTGTTATAACAACATTGGTGAAATGTATGATTTAAAAGGTGACTCCGAAAAAGCAATGGAATACTATAAAAGAGGACTTGATATGAAACTACAATGCAATGCTCCTGTTTTATCGACTGTTCTCTCCTTATGCAGTACAGCTAAAATGATGATCCCTTTAAGACAATTCAAAGAGGCCCATTCACTTCTAGATGATGGGTTTGAAAAGTTGAAGAAAGAAAAGCTCCAACCAAAAGAAGCCGAAGCGTGCGTATGCCACACTAAAGGTTTGGTCTATAAAGAAGAAGGTCGTTTTAATGACGCAAAGGAAATGTTCCGGAAAGCAGTAGAAATTAGACAGAACATTGCACCAAACAATATCCAGTATATTGAGAGTTTATCGCATTTGGCAGACATATATAAGATACAAGGCTATTTACCCAGGGGTTTGAAATATTGTGAAAGGGTTTTACAACTTAAGGAACAAATTATAACTTCAACGCCACACACGTTGGTTATTGCTGATTCTTTCGATCGAATGGCTGACATCTACAATAAACAAGATAATACGCATAGATACATTGAAACCCTAGAGGAATTACAATCAGAACTTCTCCGTTTAGAGCGTGTTTTCCTTTGTCATCAAAATGAAAGAGATTTGTATAAAATACGGTATAGACTTAGAAATTTAGATGCCTGTTTTTAAGTGGTTCATTGTGGTATACATACAAGGGAATAAGTTTGTTTAATGAAAAATAGTTAAATGCAGAGTGACTCAATCCAATAGCTAAAAATCTGTTTTTATACTCATGTGTAAAGTTCCTTTTTGAAATAATGCATAAATAGGCAATTATTGAAAATTGAATAATAGCCTTTATCTCACCATAGTTTGACATAAATATTAACCACATTATGAGCATTTATCATTTTGCTATCATATATATAACTACTGGATTTGATCATAGACAATCATTAAGGGTTTTAGACCAAAGCAGTTTTCTATGTGTTTATTTTTAACAAGTTTCAAAGCATAATTCATACTTTACTACTTATAATATATTCTAAAGTTACATTTACTAGCAATCATAGAACTAAAGCCGTGACATTATTTCCTAACTCATACTATAGTCAATCTAGAATTTGTCATCAGAGAAAAATCATATTTATGGTAGTATAAAACAAAGCGAAACGTAGACAATGTATTTATATAACTAAACTATTTCTTTGAGTGTTTTTTTTCTGTTTGAATTTGGTTTCTTTCGGTAGGCACATATGTGTACGGGATCCTGAACGTTATGGGTAGTCTCGTCATTTTGGGCAAGACTTATAGAATGTCATTTGAAACTCGGTATATTCTTATGTTGAATAAGATATTCACTTGAATTAATGAAACATTTAAAAGCAGTGTTACTGTATTGGGAGGTTGTTCACAGATCTCAAAGAAAAATCTGAGGAATTTAGCTAGAAAGTTTGTTTCAGATACCCTATAGATTATGTTATACTTTGGACGTATATACGCTTCAGAAAAATCCTTTATTTTAAAATGACAAATAAAAATACCACTAATATTTAGCTCTTTCCTGTAAATTTTACAGAAAGTCAAACCGTTCTCGGTCGGACTTCGTCCGAAAAAGACAAACATGTAACGTATCGATTTCGTTTATTGGTCTAAGTTTTCATTTTATTACTAATATTTCATCCAGTTTGCACAATTAAGACTATGCAGTCATATTTTTTAAGTTTCTTTGCAAATTCAAGATGGCGGGATCTAGTCTCGAAAAATCTCACGGAAATGTGAACTTGCGGGATTATTTTATTTTAAGAGTGTTGCGCCATAGTTTTCTTTACATGTAAGTTTAAGCACCATGCTTTTGTTAATAACCTTTTTTTTAAATGTCAAATTAGGAATAGTTATACGTATTCCAAAAGAAAATAAAGAAAACCGCTTTCTAAAAGACCTATTACTTTTTTGGATGTCATATATAAAATTGCATTACGTTCTGTTAAGAAATTGTGAAAATAGAAAAGGTATATTTATATTGATAATAAAAAAAAATAAGATAAATTAGTTTGCAGATGATGCTTCTCAATTTTAAGATGATAAATGATGATAAAGAGCATACCTTAAAAATGTTGTAGATTGACTTTATAGATACTCACTTTTATCAGAATTAAGTGTAAACTATGACAATATTCATCTAAATATGTTTAAATTATCATAAGGTCACCTTTTTTCAAACATCTCGGAATGCTAATTGATTTAAATCAATTTAAAGTATCAAAATGAAAAATGCGACAAATCTTGCGAAAAGAAGGAATTTGTCTCTTTTAATTGTTAAATCAGTTGTACTGCTGGTAAAACCTGAGTTGAAACATTACCAAATCCATCAGAAGAAAATAGATGATGCGTTAATAGAATTCATATGGAATGGAAAACAAAATGTAAAAACAAATCTATTTAAATAAAAAAACTTTATTCTGGTGGAATATTAGAAAGTTAAAAGAAAAGCTTGAAAACAAAATTGCTTAGAAATTGTATTATATGAGGGTTTAGATAATGCCTCAGACTTGTACCAAATCATTTTATGTTTACAAACTCGTAAGATTTTGTAAATGTTATTGTGATAAAATTGGTCACTTAAACTAGGTTCTGGAAAGTTTTCATTAATGCATAGGTATGATATCATGACAAAATGACTAAAGATACATCTATAACATTTTTATTACATATGCTGTTATTTCTAAACCTGTATAAAATAGATCGTGTATTTACAAATGTACTGTATGATAAAGAAATAATTGGAATAAATTATATAGTTCCGCAATAAAGAGTACCATTCAAAGATTCTTATATACAATAGCTACTATATAGAATTGTCCATGGAATTGAAGTAACCGTAGTGTTACCGTGTAAAATAAAAAAGTAGGGTTTTTATGCCATATTGAGGAAAAACATTACATCAAGTATCTTCTGAATGTCGCAATGTCAAGCCTTTAGTGTTTTTTTTTATTTATTTATTTTTATCTTTTTTCAAAAATTATCAACATACTTTGCTTTGGCTCTTTCAAACAGTAACATTATTTTTGCGAGAACAAGAAACAGATAATTTCCAAAAGATATTCTATACTTTGAATATAAGAAATATTTTGTCTATGCAAACGAAATATGGTTACTCCTACTTTCCAAGTTTTACTTACAGTTATCAATTGGGTTGGACAATATATGAAAATGCAAATTAAAATGAAAATAAAAGAAATTATTCGACACGTGTGAGATCGGGTATACGGTTACAATGGTTTTTTTCTTTGGTTCAATTGACACTTTTAAACATTATTTACAAGCTTGGTAAATGTACATTTACACTTATACAATGTTTTTATTGCACTTTCGTTGTCTTCATGTAAATGCTTTTCGTAGCATGTTGGGCAATTTGTTTGTTCGAATATGCAATAAAAATGTTAAGATTCGGAAGAGTTTCAATGTATTTGGCATAAGACCTTGAGTATATGAACCCTTCAGCTAAGCATTCTAAACGCGTTGACAAGTTTTATGTGGTGGCATGCCATTTTCCGGCATTAATTTCTTTGATATTAAAAACATTCCTTGAGACTTTTAGACAAGATATTTTATGTTTCTTTCGCTTGTGTAAGTTTGCTGTGTGCCGACATTCTTGAGATAGGTAACACTTCTCGTGGAAATTTCGTATTTTGTATTTGAAGTTTTCTAGAAGACATTCTCCTCAGATGAGCTGGAAACCGATAAACAGATAAACTTTGCCTTTGCCTTTGTGTTCTTCATAACTGCTGTGAAAATGCGGCATTATCCTGCCCGAATTTCTATAATAAAATAACACAACAACAACAACAACTACATTGCAAGTATGCGAGAAATTGCAACAAACATTCAATTTGTAGGAAATTCACAATATTTAAGATAATTGTAGGTTGTTTTTGTGTTAGTTACATAGGGATGAAATAATAACCATCATTTCGATATACTGTCGTAGAACTTTATGTTCTCTGAAAATTACAACTTTTCAGCAAGATTTGTTTGATTCATTTACAAGCAACGTTACTGTCACTAGGCTAAATCTGCTAATTGTGTTGATTCGTAACCTTCTTAGTTAGGCTATGCTTTTGACCTACATAGCACGAGTTGTTCAGGAAATGACTACTTCAACTGTATTATTTCTATGAGAAGGAATAAATTTTTTATATGCATTTGAATAAATTATGATTTTCAGTCTATAACAGAATAATAACCTGGTATATTCTTGATCGTGTAGAATGTTTTAATAGACTCTCGAAGTATACCCTGTATGTTAAACATTCTCGTGTTGGAGTCATAATTCAGTATATGTCGTCTCCGTATTGGAATAAGTGTTTGATCTTTCACCGTTGCAATTGATTGGGAATCTGAAGAACAATATATTTTGTATATTTCGCATAAGAAATAATATTAAATAAATATTAACTTGATTGTTTGATGTATCATCGTTTCATTCTTTTTAAAATAAAAATTCTTATAAATACTTCCAAAATAATTGCTGGTCCGTTACTTTTGCTTAATGTTAAAAAGCAATCTTGAATACTTAGTATTTCCTTGGCTTGTTCTGCGTTAAACGATCCATGAATATATTCGAGTATGGTCAGTCTTCTCTTGTATACAGTATCTAAGCGGTCAATGAACTTTTTACACACGTCAGCTGTAAAAATGAATACCATGTTTGATCTTTGTTTTCAATATTAATTAGCCTTATAATCATACAGCTCATAGGCAAAACAAAAACTATATGAATTAAATGTAGAATCTTTTTAAGCTCAGTAGATATATTAACATAACCCGTAAATCTGCATCATTATAAAGAGCTAAATACATATCTAAAGTACCTTCACAGCATATTTCAATTATCGTGGCCAATTAGGTTAACATGTGTAACAAATGTTTCGTATTGTAATGTGGGGTATTACATTAGGATTTCAAAAGACTAAAAAGCAGTTATTACCGACTCTATCTTCCTCCGGGTAAAACTCCCGACTCAGGGCTTTCAGTCTACAAGTGAGCAAGAACTGGACCATGTCATTTGGTGTTGTCATGCCGCTGTCCTCCGTTAGCTCAGATCCGACCATTAGAATTAGTAGAGGCATCCCTTCACATAAATCTGCGACATCGTTCTCGTATTTACCAAGTTCTACTCCTTCACTGACATGTTTAAGTAACTGGCGCGTCTCACTTTGGTTAAGAGGCAGTACCTCGTGACTGCAGTAGACTTTTTTAAGCTGTGAGAATTGTACACGTGTTGTAGAAGTAATAAAAATCTTCACATTAGAGCATTGTCGAACCACACTTGTACACAATGAAAAGAAGAAGTCTCGAATATCAGTTCCTTTTAAGTCTTGCCAATCTTCGGTATTGTCAAAGAAAATAATGAAACGTTTTTTACCGGCTGCTTTTATACTGTCACAAATATGATAAATCCATCTGCTGGACTGTGCTGCTTGTAACTCCGGTTCAATGCCATAACTCGCATAAATCTTAGAATACAATGAGTTTGTATCAGATATTAACTTCATATCTATGTAAATATGAACAAAGCTACCTGACTTTGTGCTCTTTAAAAACTCTGTCACCAGTCTGGATTTTCCAACCGCCTTCTGTCCAAAAATGCCAAATATTTTGTGCTTCTTCCATGCTCTCTTTAACACATTTAAATCATTTTTTCTTCCGACAAAATCTGTTTCGATATCGATATCATCATCAAAGTTATTCTCAAATATCTCCCGAGTTACTTCATTGCAAGAACTTTCCATTAACAGCTTTCTGTCAGCCATTTTTCCACACTTATGGACACATGAATATAAAATAATTTACTCGACTGAATAGAAACGCAGATTATCTGTGTAATGATTAAAATACACCTCAGGACTTCTTACCTGCGTAAAATGTTAAATAAAGATCCAGCTCATGTCCTTATCTATAAATAAAAACATCCTCATTGATTTAAAAGATAAATGTTTACAAACCTATATATGTAACAAAAAGAACAAAATGATATTTGTAGTGTTAGAAAGAATATGCACCATGCCCAAGACTTAAGTTTAGTGGTATAGCATCTTATTAGTGTTAATTATCAGATTAAATAAGATTTACAAAATATCGCTGATGTGTATGTTATTTGTTACTTGTTCCGATTATTAAACACAATACAAATCAGTTATCGTGTCTTGAGATATGAAATGATTTAGTATGAATCCACTCAATATCAAATTAAAATGTTTTTTACTGTAAAAGTTTATCATCGAATCTACTCTCCCTATACTTCGGATAAGTCCATTTTATTGTTTATATAAACACGTTTATTTTTTTATCGAACTGTACAGTGTAAGACACTATAAATACTAAGCCTAGATGTTATGATATTAAAATGAAAAGCACTTGCACTGTTTAAATACAGATACGCACGCTTGGGAAATATCCCGATGTTTTCGTAGTTCTAAAGTAATTTTCGCTGCCATTTTAACGTGCATGATTATTTCTAACTTATTTTTCTTGGCATTAATTTGCCTGACGCGTAAAATTTTATTTGTGTCTTGAAACAAAGTCAATCCAGTTTACAATGTAGCTGTTATTCAAATTGCGACATTTTTTTCTTGTTCTAGAGCTAGTAAAGTCTGCTTAAATCTATTGTATTCATGCATTAATTTAATAATCTTCTATTCATTATGATCAAATGGTCCAAAATATATTTAAAGAAATTATTACTTTACTTTGAGAAAAATATTGAGAAAAAAAATAAGTAGTACGCCTAAGTTAAATGTTTATTGTTTTCGAATTTCTAGTGACTTTGATACATTTTTACGTTTGTAACTATTTCAAGTCTAAAAATTCGGTCAGTTTTCATCTTATATTATTGATAAGCAGAGATGACTTGGAACTTCTCAAGTGTTGAGTTGTTTCTATCAGCGAATTATCTGTCTCATTGTAACTACCAAATTATCCAACAATATATAGCTCTTTCATACTGTCAAAAGTTGATTTCCAAGATGATATTCACTAGCAACAGGTATAAGTAGGTCTAATAGTCATTTGTATCTCACTGTTGATTTAGAAATGATGCGGGGTTAGTAGTCGGTCACTTGCAAATACATTCGTTTATAATACCAGATTTATTATCCAGGCATGCCGGTTACATTAATCGATTGACAAGATTTTACCAAAATTGTGTTAGATTCAGCGTAACAACTAACCAACCAAACCAACCTAGCTTGTAAGTGTCGTGTGGGAGCTAAAAATGTTATTCTGTATTTCACTTCAGTGTTGTCTTTTCTGGTCCATCGGGATAATTGAATCCAGCACTTTTAAGTGTTTAAAAATGAGTACTGCTCAAGCTGGTGCTAGGGGACGTAAGGAATGTTGCATTTTTTCATTATCCCTCATAAACAGACTCAATCAAACAGAGTCTGCAATTATCAAGTAATTTTGTTGTGATTAATGCTTCCGAGAGATCACTCTTTCTCCAGATTTGTGTTTATGTTTTATATAGTAAATCAATCATTCACCAACTCTTTTCAAAGGACAAAGTCCACTTACTGAAGCAGATTGTACTACCACTGAGACAGCAAGTGCATTAACTGAACAACAATCTGATTCAACTGAATATGTACAAACTTACGCTTGTATTTTGGTTAATATGAACCTATGCTTATGCATCTCTAAATTGAAAGTGAAATTTCACTATATTAATGTGATTTTATAAATGACTGTTTATTATCAGGATTCCCAAGTAGAATAAATATCTGTTAACATTTGCATCTATCTTGTTAGATGGTACATTGTCTCTCCTTACATTATGACTAGGCATACAAATAAACTTTAAGCTTAAAATGCTCCAAGACATATTAAAAACATATGTACTAATATAATTTAATCATAGTTTAATTATTTCTTGCAGTGCGTTTTTTTCTGTTTTAATGATCCATTATGCATAGCCTAATGTGTATTTTTTTATCAGTCCCTCTGTTCTCTCAGTTACAAGAATCAAACATGATAAACAATTTAAACGAATGTCTAAAGTTCTGTAACTCATGTTAGTTGTCTCAACATTTAAGAAGTCAATTTATTGCAAGTCATGGGAGAAATGTCTATTATAGTACCATAAATCAATTAAAACTCGTTAAAGACAAAAACTCGCTTAAAAGCATAAAGAAAACTTTGCAAAAATATATAAGGGATATTATATTAAAAGTATGTGATATGAAAAACGTTCAATTATATATATTTATTTTATGCTTTTCAGTGGAGTACTGATTTATCCGTGAAAATTATATTTGATAATTTCACAGTGAAAATTATCAAAATATAATTTCACACATTTCAATGACGAAACTACTTTTTTAAGATTTTCCCCATATGGTACCTCAATTTTATTTTTTCTGACTATTCCGACAATGTCAGGCTGTTTAAACAAAAGCAAAAGTGAAATTGATAAATAACTTATATGTCAAAATTAATAAAAAGAAGAAAACTTACAGTATGTTACTTCTATTCATTCAAAATACCAATCACCAAATATCGTCTCTTTAATTTTTTGTTTCATTTTTACAGTCTGAAAAATCATTCCTTCCACATGCAAAACTGCTCTTGATGACATTTGGGAATATTTAAGTATCCTACGAGCAATAACTGCCGTATGCTTTATGAAAACTTGAAAAGCAATGGCAGCTTTCAGTCGAAGAATATGTAAAAAACCCAGCGTTCGTAAGGCTTCCAAAGTTTCCAATTTCCTATCCACTTTTTTGAATGTTTACACATCTGTCAACACTTATTTATTGTCTGTTACAATCCTCAAATAAGTTTTCTTTCTTTTAAAAAGGTGTATGACTAAGAAATCCAAATGATATCCCTCTGAATCAAACACAATTATTTTCCTCCAGTGAAATACACAACTTTAAAAATGGCGGCCGCTTACATTTAACAAAGCAAGGTCTAATATAAATTCGCAGTCAGTAACAGAAATATGGATGGATGGTTGGACTTTTTCTCCAACTAGAATTGTTTGTTTTTATTATTTAAACAAGCGATCAGACATACTTTTTTAATAAAATGAATACTATCACCACCATTTAACGTTGATTGTGGAACTTATTTTTCAGCCCATGACTTCTTGTATTTTATGAGAAATTCGACTTTTTTGAGGCTCTCAATGGGGAAAACAGATTTTAATATTAACGTAAATATTAAGGAAATTTCGTTTTAACTTGTTTTTAAGCATAAAATAAAAAGAAAATTTGTTTGTTTGTTGTGTTCATCTTACACACAAACAAACAAATATCCTCTATATAATATTTCTATAATATCTCTTTTCATTTCCTTGCAAACTTTTAGGAGACCTCTATTATATCCATGAGTCATGTGGACTGTTTAAAAAAAATACAGTGCTGACTTGAATTTTTCAAGAGTTTCTATACTTTCGTAATTAAGACCTGATAAAATGTAAGTCTATCTTAGCATTCGAAACACGTTCTGACAAGTGGATGATGTGGCATGTTTTTCCGAAGTTTCTTTTATCTAGAGTGCTTTTTGAGACTTTTGGGCAAGATATATATCATGTTAATGATTCATTTTCTAATTTTAAACAGTAAATTTGGTTTCTAAGCGCTATAACATTTTGATACATAGTCTAATTTAAGATGGTTAATTTAGCAAAAATGTGCTGTAATACATGTAGCGGTAGCCTATTTAAAAAAGCTGCTATAATTTATGAAAATATTCTTCCGTTCGTTCAAATCGTTAACATGGCAACATATCCTAGCAAATCTAACCCACATGATATAATGTTTAACAATAAAGTTTGTAAACAAAACCTTATACAAATTACATGCAAGAAAGGTAACTTTATCTCGTGCAAAACATTTTGTATAAGGGAATTTAGTTTATCGATAATTTGTTTTGTAGCAGTGTTGTATAAAAGGTAGAAAATCCTTATCATAATTTCATCAAATATTTCATTTCAATGATAGTTTCATACTGCAATTAATATGTTTAAATGATATTATCTTCACGTAAAAGAGTTGCGAGCACATTAATTTTGACTATGTATAATCTTTCAATAGAAAGGCGGTTTTATTCGAAAAAACCTGTATAAAAAATCTTACATACAAACGTTTTTGTTTCATGAGTATCTCATACTTCAATTCAAAATGATTTGAAATTTTTGAAGTTTGCTTTCTTTTATTTTTTCTTTCTTTTCTTTTTATTGTTTTTGCACATGCAGAGTTTCAATTTCATAACATAAATATACGTATTGAACCATTGAAAACTGTAAAAAATATGAAAAGTGCAGGTGCAGACATTCAATCGTGTGCACAGACCTGTATCTTAACTATATCGATAATAAGTTTGTAGTGAGATTTTATACTAGTGTAACAATCCTGAATAAAAAAATATTATTAGGCACTTTAATATTTAAAATGGCTGGACAAACCTTATTGATTAATAAAGGAGAAATTCTGTATAAAAAACTTAATGCTGATTTGCATGAACAAAATAATTTTGAACCGGACTTTGTTGGCAGGGAAAATGACATTGAAAAGTTACATAAGGCTTCGAAAGTTTGTAGGATAATGGGTATATTTGGAATAAAATCTGTCGGCAAATCAAGGCTTGTGAAAGAATATTTGAAGAGATTTAAACCAGACGGAGTCAAAGTTATACATATAGATATAAAGTTGATGCCGAATATAGTGTCGTTGTATTCAAACATCTGCGCAGCCTTGGAACTACTCTTTGATCAAGCCTCGACTGGATCTGACCAATGGATTCATAATATCGTGCTATTTCTCAATTCTGTACCAAGAAATGAGTTTTTGTTCTTCTTTGACAATACAGAGGACTATCAGGATACTAAAAGTCTAAACATTTGTTCTTCATTTTTAAGATTATGTACTTCAATTGTAGAGAAATGTCAAAACGTTCAGATTTTCATTACTTCAACTACTCAAGTTCAGTTTTCAAAACTTGGAAGAGTTTATTGCAGTCATGAACTTGTACCTTTGAATGAAACAGAAGCAAGACAGCTACTGAAAAATGTGACTTCGGAGATTGATCTAGAAGACTATGAGAGTGCATTGATAACGCTTAGTGAAGGATTGCCACTACTGATCCTTATGATCGGATCAGAGTTAACAGAAGACGCAGGGATGATAACTCCGAATAATATGGTCGATCTTTTACTCACTGGTAGACTCAGAGCATTGAGTAGAGAATTTTATCCAGAGGAAGATAGAGTCGGTAACGTGCTTTCGACAATGTAGAACTTTGTTACATTAAAGATAAACGATACCATGTATTTTTCTATGCTCTAATGATATCTGTCAAATACCATGGGCACATTTACAGAATTAAAAAGAATATGTAAACTCACAGGTTATATATATTCATTTATTTATGGGGTCAAATTTAAAGTCTTATTATGCTCATCAAATCGTAAATGGTGAATGTACAGGTAAAGGTCAAAATAGCTTTACATTTAGCACAAAAATTATCATTAACTCAAGTGACACATGGATATTTCTATAAATCATTCATAATATAACCGGTAACGTTCAACTGTTAAAAGAGTGGGACAGTCTCTTTTATATCTTATCCATTGAAATTTTTCATTATCAATTATTGGTCGATAACCATTCAAATGCCGCTCAACTAACACTGGAAGAATGAGCATAATGCCAATTTGAGTCATCCAGTATTCTCATTCATAATCATGAGATAAGACTATACTATACTAAAATAAAATAAATTGAAATTGATTATCAAATATTACGAAATATGATATCAAGTTCACACATAAATCTTTACTTATAGGAGATGTCTATAGGAAGTTTCTTGATCGACTTGATGTAGTGTATAAGAATCATGTCACTGTTTTAGAATACATCCCGGGGACATTTAGTGCTGAACAGGCACAACAAATATTGGGTATGAATTATACATATATTAATGCAAACTATTGATATATTCTATAAAATTACAGATAACATCTGTACATAAAACATATCGTTAAAGATTAAGATCTGCTATCCTTATATCTATTTTTATCATATTATATGAAGTGATAATTACAGATGCAAATACAGTGGAGATGGTCATGGAAGAAACATTACGTCCTGTTTGTAAACGTCACATACTTCACTATGACCGAAATACAAAACGATTTGGAATTCAAGGAATTCTACGCGAATGTATCAAGTCGTTTTACATAATTGAAAATTTACCAGGTATTTCATTTTATATCAACATAATCTAAATTGATTAAGAATATAGATATGGCTTAATGTAAAATTCAATCATAAGAGGACAAGGCATGCAAAATCAATTGTACATAATCTGAATTTGATGCATCTCCCTTTTAACCAGTGTGAAACTTTTCATAAAATTAACTTTCTACTCTAACAGAGCATTTATATTTTGAATAGTTTTCTGTGCAATGAATTATTATGTCAAATTACAGAAATCAGACGAAGATACATACAAATCTTTTCTGTTGTAATGACAAATATCTCCAAGCGTCTGAATACATATGAATATACAAACGCTATGGCTGAATATTTTATTGAACAACCGAACTTACAAAAGCTGATGATGGAAGTAGAGAACACTGCTCAAGACAATTATAAGTTCTTCATAGAAATGGTGACCAACTGTACCGGAATGATCGAACACTTTATGTCAGGTATAATTCAATATGTTTTAACAGGTTCTACGAGGAGCGTTCATTCAAAGTTTGATTCTGACATTGGCCACAACCTGTTGCGGGTCTACGTTTTTTTAAAGTATTTGTATAGTTTTCATGTAAAATTTCGCATAAACAGATTAACCTTTACGAACAGCAACCTGAATGGCGGGAACTGATGGGTCTTTTTGCAATGCATGTTTTTGCCAGAATTTATAGCCCAAATCGTGGTGTTTTGGTGTTTACAGTTTGGCTCAAAAAGTATTTCGTTACCAGTGATGACATTTGCAAAAGAACGTGATAATATTTAAGCAACAGCTAAGCGCTTTGCAGAAGGGCATTTTCCGCTCATCTGTCAGAAATGGGGAATTGAGTGGCGGCGTGGCCGAGTAGTTAACGCGTCGGACTAGTAATCAAAAATTGCTGACCGCGTGGGTTCAAGCCCTGTCAGGGGCAAGTCGTTGTTTCCTTGAGCAAGAAACTTTACTTTCATTGCTAAGTACTGGTTGGTTCCAGGAACGGATTCGAGAGTGTTTCAATAAGCTTTTAGCTTCCAACACAATCGAACTAAAATAAATTTGTATAAACTATATAGGGAATTCGTCTAGCCAAGATTTTTGTTATTTTCAAATCAAGTTTGAGAATGGCATGAGCTGTTCCTAATGAGATGCCAACGATACTAGCTATTCGCCCAGTGGTGTATCTTGCATCGGTTTTACTATTTCTTTCACTTTAGCAATCATATTGACAGACGTTGCTGTTTTATACCGATGAGAATTGAGTGCATCTTCAGTCGAAATTAACCCATATTTGCTGATTAAATCAACAAATAACTGATCAAAAAGACATTTCATTTGTTTATATACAGAACAGATCTATACTCTATGCTACAGAGACAATGCTTCTTAATATAAGACCGTAATTAATGGCATATTCTGATCTACAAACCATTTTATGTAAAACAATGTATAGCGAACTATAAACACAGCTAAAGTAAACAGATTTTAATGACTGTGGTATCAATGTAAAACTAACTTGTATATCTATCCGATAACTTCTTTTCCTCGTGTGTTTCCGCAATATTGAACAACATAACGTTCTAGATGCATTCATATTTGAACATTCCTCGTAGCATTATTTTATGAACAATTTATGTGGAGTAACATAGAAAACAACTTCATTCTACTGATTTAAAATCTAATGCTAGATAAAATTAATCAAGCATTCAGAACTTAATGCAAAATATGATTAAATTTTTATGTCAGATTAAAGTGAACATTTTTTATGTCTGGAATGATGTTAAATTTTATCATCAATTTTAACTAATATAATATCAATTGATCTGTTAACATACTGTTGGAAACAAAATTTATAACAATTGTTGTGAAAACGAAATGATGCTTTAAACATACAAAAACTAGTACATGATCATTTAGTGTTTAAGTTATTAAATGCCTTATTTATAAACTGTGACAAAATACAGATTGCCAATAGATACAAATACAATATCTAAATGATAGTGAATAGTCTTTTAGCTTTACGAAAGCATTTTCAAATGTCATACTTTGGAGTTAATTTTGTTTACAACTACCATCTTATAATTCGATATTTTGGTGCAAAGCTGTTAAAAACATTTGATCATGAAAATCATTTTAATAATTCTTATTAATCTGTTAATCTTTAATCGAAGGAAATAATAGCAAATATTTAGTATTCTAATGAGGCAAATAAATCATGTGCCTTCTCTAATGAATACATACAGTTATTATATACTCATGTAAAACATAACCATAAAAATAGACTTATATTGAAACTGGAAAGATTTGATTGTGCCAGTAAGTTGCATTATTCAAATTGATTGAAGTTAATAAGATAAGCTATATATCAAAACAGTTTTTCTTTCCAATATATTGAGTTCATTATTTACTTAAAACTGTGAAATCAGTACTCTGGAGGTTGCAATTGACAGCCATAGTATGGCTTAAAAAAGTTTCAAACCTGGTTCATTAACGCGCAATGTCTTAACAATGTCAGATAAATGAAAAACATTATTAGTAGTTTACCGTTTGAAGAAAAGTATGTATAACTGGAGCTTCTATTTCCAGAATAACTATTTTTGCATTCGCAAGTTGTCTCGTACTTTGTAATTGGGTCACTGGTTGATGAGGATTGAATGTCATAACTTCAGCGTTTAGGGGTCGAGAGAGATGCTATTCTTTCCTGTTTTCATTAATATGACTTATATTATAGTTACCTTTTCTGTTATTTTAACTGCTTTCTTTTATCATAATTTTTCTGGCAGTGGAAGTTCCTGTCATACACACTTTCACTTCAAAACGGTAAAATACTAATATAATAATTTTATTAATTTGTTTGTCATTTAAGATATATTTGACTGCTGTTTGTTCTTTCATTGAAGGAAACGTTGAAGTATTTTATGGGCATTGTTTAAAAGCTGCGGAAATGTATGGTCAGGACGAAGATAGGGAATCTGTTAACATTGCTGTTGGAAGTTTGTACACTAATACTACGGTATTTATTAAAACTTAACCAGCTGCTTTATAATCTTATTTTTCTGTTTTGCTAACTTTAAATTGCATGTTTGATTAATTGTTATATGTCCCAAAATAATCATTTAGTATTGCAAATGAATGTATCCTAGAGACATAATGCTTCACAATTTATATGTGATGTTATTTTCTTAAAAACTTTATATTTTAAAAGACATCAACTCACGAACATGAATAAATAAATGATATTTTAGGGAGATTTACTCGGAGGAGAAACACACTACAAGGCCGCTTTTGATATCGTAGAGCACAATGAAAGATCCTTACTGCTAGCAACAGTGTATCAAAGGTTAGGTTGGAACACACTACTTCAAGGACAAACCACTGGTGCTATAAGGTAAATATGGTAAATGTGATTTAAGGATTGCAAACCGAAACCAATTACAAAATGAAAATTCAAAGCTTAGAATTATTTGAAGCTTGATAAGAACATCATATCATTCATCCAAGATATAAAAAGTTGTGTCGAAAAAAGAAAGTAACGAACATAAATGATATTTTAAGCAAGTAAGAAACTGTGTGAAAGAAATATTGTATTTAATTAAATCTTATAGAAAAATCTAGACTGTAAAGTGTTATGATACATTTTTTACAACTTGTTTTATATCTTTGAAGATGTTTAATTAAAGACTTATTAGATGTCCTAGATGTCCTAAGTAGACACTGTAGGAACTGATGTATCTCTTCAATCTAAGAAAATGGGGATATTACTTTACAAACATGAATTATTGTAAGATGAAAATTGTTGTTAAAAGCAATAACCACTTTTTACATGAAGTCGCTTTGTTAATTATAAAGTTTCAAAATGAGAATAAAATAAATGTCTTAAGCTTAATTAAGCAAAACAAATCTGCCGCTGAGCTCAATACGGAGAGCAGTGATTATTGATCTCAGAAATTAAACTAAACGGTCATTTGTCTCTAATCGCTGATTTAAAAATCATTTACTTGCAGAGAAATTGTCAATTACTGGTAAGGCACCAATGAAAGCCAGTAAGGACCGATCGCTGAGATTTTAACAAATTGTGTGAAAAACAGAAGAAACAAAGACATTTAGTTCACTTTTTCTCAATAAAGTAAATATGCTATCATTTTAGATATTTCAAGAAGTCGTTGGCAATAACTGTGACATCTGGGGAAAAGTTCAAACTAATTGCTGTACAATCATTAAGCAGTATGGGTATATCGTTAACGCTGCTGGGTTTGTTTCCACATTTGTTTCATATGATATTATTTCAAGTTACTGAATCAGTTTCATGACAATAAAGTCTAAAATACTAGTTATGGATAGAAATATGAAATTTTCATTCATTATATTTGAACATTGGATAACTAGTTTCATCCTTCCTTATTAAGCTCAAATATATTTCAGGTAAATTCAAAGAGGTAGAAAAGTATCATTTGCAATCATTAAACGGCACCGAATGTTCCTAGGTGAGTGTCACCCGGGAATAGCTACTTGCTATAACAATATTGGTGAAATGCATGATCTGAAAGGCGACTCTGAACAAGCAATGAAATGCAATGCGCCTGTTTTATCTATTGTGCTTTGTAATATGGCTAAAGTCATGATACCTTTAAGGCAATTCAAGGAAGCTCATTTCCTTTTAGATGATGGGTTTGAAAAGTTAAATAAAGAAACACTCCCACCAAAAGAATGCGAAGCATGCGTCTGCCATACTAAGGGATTTGTTTATAAAGACGAGGGACGTTTATATGACGCAGAGATGTTTACAGATGCAGCAGAAATAAGACGGACAATTGCACCAAACAATACCCAGTATTTTGAAAGTTTATCGCAATTGGCAGATATTTATAAGATACAAGGATATTTAGTCTGTAGTTTGAAATATTGTGAAAGGGTTGTACAATCGAGAGAACATGTAATTAACTCAACGCCACACACATTGGTTCTTGCTGATACTTTCGACCGAATGGCTGAGATTTACAAGAAACAAGGCAATACGCATAGACATGTTGAAACCCTAGACAAATTGCTGTCAGAACTTCTTCGTTTAGAATGTGTCTTCCTATGTCATCAAAATGAAAGAGATTTGTATGAAGTACGAAATAGACTTAGGGACTTAGATGCCATTGTTAAAGAGGTTCATCATGATATACAAGGGAATATATTTTATCAATGAAAAGGAAAAGCAATAAAAGGCAGGGTAGCTAAATCTAATACTTTAAGATCATTTACCCATCACCGCATCTGAATCCACACAGCCACGATTTATTGAGTAATCTCATGTAAGGTAAGCTTTCTAAGCTTTGTCAAGATGGGTTATTTTATTTATGCCCTATGCTTATTTGTAATAGCTTTTGAAGTCACCTTCCTATATTAAATTAGAATAGTGACTTTCTCTTAATATTTTCATTTTGACTTGAGCCTCAACCATAAACAAACTGAACATTAATCGTTCTGTCATCATGTTTATAACTATAACATTTGCTCACATTGATTATTTTATTGAGCTCAGACCTAAAATATTGACTTTGTGTTTATATTTTGTAATTATCATAGTATATTGTGTACTTAATAAGTATAAATCTTTTGTTCAAATAAAACAATAAACAAGGAAATAAGGTCTTGTTGCGTCCTGTGAACGTTGCCTATGCCTTGTTGATCTCGTGTCAACAAATTAACATAAATAGAAAAAAAAACATTTATATTTCGTTATTCACAGTTCAGCACTTTTTCTTGTATTGTTTTTTCTTTTCTTTTTTTAAACCTAATAGAATTGCCCATTATGCATTACATGTATTTGGAAATATTCAGCTGTGAATCCGTCCTTTTTCTTGTGACAAAATACATTTAATTTTGATTCTTTCAATTACAACAAATAACATTAAGAAAGCATATGATATGTACACACTAAAATATTTCATTAATAGTATCGGCTAACGAATTCCTCAGGCTGTGTTACATGTGTTATTTCGTCCGTTTATGGAACAACGTAGAAATGTAGACAGTAAATGGAAAAAAAACCTAGTACTAATTGTCGTGACAGAAATATAAGTTCACCGAAAAGCACAGAAATACACATTCCAAATACAATGTATATACAAGGAAACATAAAAAGTATGTGTATTATCTCGATTTGGTTTCGTATGAAACCCTTTGAATGGTTTCTGTAACGCTTTGCATTTCTTTCCGAACTTTTAGAAGATCTCTGTCATTTCCATGATCCAGATGGACTCTTTCAAGTCGAATCAGTTCTGATTGAAGTTTTTCAAGAGTTTCAATATATTTGTCATTAGACCCTGATAAATTGTAAACTTCAGCTAAGCATTCAAAGCATTCTTTGACAAATGGATTTTGTGGCATGGCCTTTTCTGCCGTTTCTTTAATCTGGAGAGCTTTGTTTGAGACTTTTATACAAGATATGTAATGTTTCTGACGCTTGTGTATGTCCGCTAAGTGAACCAAACTCTCGAGATACGTTACGTTTTCCATGGAAATTTCTCCTCTTATGTTTATAGCTTTTTGGAACATATCTTCTGCAGATGTGAGGTTTTCATCACGCCGATAAACTTTTCCTATCGTGTCATATATCAAAGCGAATGATTCCTTAGGTGGCAACTTTTCCTTGTTAAGTAACTCCAATGCTTCGTTCAGTAGTTGCATAGCTTTTGCGGATTCTCCCGTTTCGCTGTACATATTGGCCGTGTTACTCAGCGAATTTACAAGTGACCATGCGGGAGTTTGGTTCTTCCTCTTTATATCGAGTCCAGCTTCATAGAATTCAAGCGCTTTATGCCAATCTCCTTTTTGATAATACATTATTCCAATGTTGTTCAAACAAGCTCCAACAAAGGGGTGAGTTTCACCTTGGATTTGTTTTCTTCGTCTTAGCGCTTCAAAATGATACTTTTCCGCTTCATCAAAACGACCTGAAATTGTATTTTACCAAATCTTTGATAACATACATGTATTTAAGACATTTATTTGTAGAATGCTTGCTCTTACAGAAACTAATTCATCAGAATACAGAATATCAGTAAAGAAGAAAACACGGAGTTGAGTACCTTTAAGGATAATATTAAGGTCACATAATATTATCTAGGTGATACAAGTTAAATATATTATTAAATATGTATATGAATAAATATAGTATACTGATTAAAACATTTTATACAAAATACTTTATCTTTTACTCTTTTCATTTACTTTCAAACTTTCAGCAGATCACATTCATATTCATGGTTCGAGTTGGCTCTGTATCGAGTTTCAAAAGAGTTTAAATATATAAGTCATTAGAATCGGAAAAAAAATTGTAAACTTAAACTAAGAATAAATTTTTTTTCCAAATGGATTGTGTGAGAATAATATTGGCTTTACTGCCTTTTTTGTTATCTGTAGAGCTTGCTTAAAAAATTCAATACATTTAAACTTATTGCTTCGTCGTAATTATTTATATATAAATAAACTTAAAATAACTCTTACCAAGGACAGTATTAGTAATACCAAGACTGTTCAACGATTGCAGAACGATTGACTGGAAGTCCGTTCCGGAAGAATTTGACAAGTCAAATGCATTCTTCAGAAATCTAAATAAAAATGGTACATTATTCAAATGGTACAAATGAGCAATAAATTTTGTTTCGAAAGAAAATGTAAATGGATAGAACAAATATAATACAAAATATCATTAAAATCTTACACTGTCGCTGCGAGATTTTTCCCCTGCATCAGTAGGTTCCATCCTTTTCTTTGATTGGCCGTTGCTAGCTGCAGTGATTTTCCATACTTCTCAAGAACATTAAGTGCAGCATCATAATTATCTGCTCCTTGTTCTAAATGACACTGTGTAAATCAAATGCATATATATAATGTACTTACACATACATTTAAATTTATACTTTTGTAGTGATATAAGTAAAATATTTATATTAAAACAATTCATTATTCAATCTTAGTTTTATATTAGCGTAAAATACATGCATGTATCTAGAATCTTTTATTTAAAACGAGTTCAAATAACTACCAAGCAAGCCTTTATTGAGCATTATAAATGTGTAAATTTTGTCAAGAGAGTTTTGAAAACGTTTTTGAATTATGTATCAAATGTCATATTCATTTTATTACATGGTGCAATAAAAGGTGTGGTTTTCAGTGGCCGGTTAGTTGTATCATTTTAATCTAGATGGTGTATAAGTGTAACAACTAAAATGGATTAATTGGTCTTCTTTTTCCTGGTTTGCGACTTCAATATTACAGACATCTCATGTTCCAGTGTAAATACAAAATAATACATCTTAAAAAGGTTTCATGTAATCTACTGCAAAAAAGATTAAGCTACAGCACATGTTATAATTGATATAAACTCATTTGACTGGGGATGTGAGAATTGGTGTATTTATATCAAGATACGTTCTTTACATAAATGTTTATGTATACATATCTCATAGATCTTTGCAATTTTTCTCAAAGAGTAATACCATTTGCCACAAATACTGTGTTGTCCCAACATTCTGTGACAAGATTGTTTAAAAGCTAAATAAAATAGGTACGATATTGACATTTGAATATTTTATAAAGCAAAATAATAGAAACATTTTCATAAATTAACATAGAAAAATATCAAGACACCCTAAGATTATGCTTTAATCGTACACCCCATGTCATATATTGAGTTTATAGAATCAATTATGAATATAAGCAGGATAACTGGCGCAAAGCTAGTATAACAAAATGACCATTTATACAATAAATAGTAAAATGGAAGATAATAAAATAAAGATTCTAGAAAAAATAAGCAAATTTGGAATTTCTTTCATGAAATTATACATCTGGGTAACACTAAAGCACTTTCTTCACAATATTTCATGATTTATTTATGGTATGAAACAGTTTTAAATACTAACAGACTAATATATGAGCAAGCATTTTCACAAAACTAGCAAAAAGGAAATAACACAAATGAGGGGAATTTGTTCAATGGTTTACTTGTTTGCCGGTTCTCGGTCCCTATAAAATACATCGTGATTATCAAATATAATGTTTTACGCAATATTACATAACTGAATATAAAAATAGTATTATATTATTAGCATTAGCATTTACAACTTCTTTACATATTCAACTCTAAAGCTTATTATAGCTAGAATTTAAAGAACATTATTTAATTTGTCACACTAAAATCCTAAAAATGTATATGTATGAAAATGAATGCATGTAAGAAATTGATAAATTACTTCTACACGTTACGGGGTAGATTTAATCAAACTTTTATTTTTGTTAGTATGCCATATACAATTTTTTAATATAACAGATGCAATAAACTGATTTTTAAGTTTACAGAATACCGACAGGACTTAAATATTTTACTTTAGTAAAAATATTACCAAAAGTAATATACCTTGACATTTGTATAAAAACTACCAACGGCAATATGAACGTTCGCTCTGTCTATCTCTTTACCGTACATGTCTGCAATCTTCATACACCCTTGATAAAATACTTCTCCTTCACCTTCAACGAACGTTTTTATTAATATTCCATATACTTTAACAGAAAAAAATGTCAAGCAAACCACCATTTTAACCGAATTAGTTTCGTTTCATATACTTTGTATGTTTTATAGTCATATACTTTAAGTGACCTTATTTTGAACAACACCAAAAACAAGAATTTTCTGCTGAAAATATAACATTATATGTAGTAATGAATATAAGTCAAGCAAATGAAAGTGTTACAAAAATATTCAAACCTTTTAGAAACAACAAACAACAATATTTAACCTTGTATAGTATGTATTGTAGAATAGTTGTAAATAAAATGCAGGCATTATCTCAGTAGCACGTTTTTTTCGAAATATATTAAGTAAGACAGCATCGATAATAAACCACCAAATCATTTGTATGCTTAAACTTAATTTTTAAAGGAAACCACAAATAAAAAGTAACTAAACGGAATATTTTAGCTAAATAAATTCTCTGATTTACCTGCCATAAAGTTATCCACAAGTCCTGTACAGTCAGTGGCGACCTTTATAAAAAAGTGATATGTGTCTTGCGTAGTGTACTCTACATCTGTCAGAAGTTTCTGTAAGTTCGGATATTCAATTGTTAACTCTGCTACTGCTTTAGTATATTCAGGCGTATAGAGCCGGCTTGATATGCGTACCATTACAGCTGTAAATATTTTACTGTATCTAGCCCTGACTTCTAAAAACAGAATAAAGCTTAATATTATTTTAATGATTATTTAAATGTGTGTATCAAGATTTTCAAAACCTTGGAAATTGTTCTAAAGAAGTATTATAACAGTTGGAACCTAAGAGCTCGACAAACATTATAAACAAAGAAATGCTACGGGCTCTGATTTAATTTACTTATAGTCGAATGTGATAAATGAAAGCTATTGTCCACATCCTCTTATACCTGATTAGAAGAATACAGAAAATGATATTATTTCAAACCGGTGTTAATAACCCATTTTATTTAGTTAGAACATGCAAAATATCCTAACAAAAATATCGGTTAAACATTGTCCTTAATTAGTCGCTGATTCAAATATCCTTAATTTGGAGAAGTGAATAGTGGAAAAGCCGATGCTATCCAGATTGGTTTCTGAAACAGTAAAATTAATCAATTTACTAGGTAAAATAGTTATGATTAATTATTTAAGAAATTGTCCTATTTATGAAATTATTTACCCAAGTCATCAAATAAAATGGCATATACATGTAGTTTAAATAGTTCATTATCACACGGATTTATAAACCCGTAAGTAATATAAATCCGTGATTATCACAAAACTATTTCTTATACAGTCCAGTTGTACTTACTTGGAAGATCTTTCACCGTATAGTACGACTTCAGACATTCTCTTAAAATTCCTTGTATGTTGAGCCGTTTGGTTGCAGAATCACGGTCTAGAACATGACGATCTAGTAATGGTTTTATTGTCTTGAATTTAACCATCGCCTCTGTTGTTTCAACATCTGTAAAATATAACAGCGAAAAATATTGCCATTTATCAGTTCATATACATTCATATACAAGTAATTTAGTAATATCTGATTAAGAATTAAATATCTGTATACGAGACAAAAGCCATGTTTTAAAGAATTCAGTCCAGTGCTTTTTAACCAATAACTGCAAAGCATAGTATGACAATGTTACGATTAAATTTTTATTCTAATTCAGTTTGATTCAACTTTATTAGACCATATCATCTATTTACAAGAACAAAGTTTTATATAAAAACAAATGGTCTAATCACTTAACATAAAATAAATGGAAGTCGCACTGTAGGAATATGTAAGTGTGATGCCGTGATGGCTTATCATTAGTGGATTTCGATTCAATTTCAATATGTGTGAATTACCTATGATTTCCCTGCACTCATCAACACTGAATGATCCTGGAATATAATCCAAAACAGTGAGATGTTCTTTATACTTCAAGGCCAATCGATCTATGAAACTTTTGTATACATCAGCTGTAAACAAAAATATATAGGCTGTCATTTCTACACTATACAAATAGTACACTATAAAAACCTGTTACAAGTTTTGTTCAAGTATTTACCCTCAAAAGTAACGTGAAAATACGTTCAGAAAAGAATTGCAAACTCATTTCTATTAGATTCGGTAAATTCTTTAAAAGTGCAACATTTTTAAATTGCAATAGTACTGGCTTATTTTACAGTAAAAGTATATGAGTCAACGATCCAGAAAGGCCAAAAATTCTCTCAACATCAATGCGTGAAGTAAAAAACAAATTATTGCTGTCGGTACGCACTTGGCACCCGTCCTGTTAGTATTATATAATCTTAAAGGGGAGACTTGCTTTGATTGTGTTTGCTCATTAATAATAATAAAATGTGTAAAATTTCTTACTACCTCACATTCACGCCCAAAACACGACATATTTGTAAACGTTACAGGCTAACAAAAACAATCAGCAAGGGGCCCTCAAACGGACAAATATGCAAAAGATTATAAATAAAATCGACAGCTTGTGCTATTTTAGCCAAATCTAAGTTGAAAGCGTTTAGCACATTTCACTTTTGGATCATTTTGCACAATTAAAATGATAATTATTATAAAAACGGAGCAAGCGAATGATCAGAAAATTTGCACAACATTTATTGGTCAAGACCTACATCAAATGTTTATAAATATTGAAAATATATTTATAGTCCCATGATTTTAAATTATAAGCATATTGAAATTAAACTATTCTTACCAATATATTTATTCATGATAATTGACACGTTTGTTTCTTAAGGTTTGGTATTTAAATAAGGGCTTATTCTATGTTTCTTACCAATACGGTCTTCTTTTGGATATAATGTGTCACTTAATGTTTTAAGGCGGCTTGTTTGTAGACACTGCACCATGTGACAAGGCGTCATTTCGTCGTTGTTCTTAAGTTCTGATCCTATCATCAAGATGAGTAGTGGCAATCCATCACTTAGAGTTACAATAGCGTCTTCGTATTCGCCAAAATTTATATCTGGAGCTACAGACCTACATTTCATGTAAGATTAACACATTATAATTTCATGTGCTATTTATAGATACAGTTGGTAAAAGAAATGTTAAAAAGAAGACCAAAAGCAAACTATATAAAGGAACTAAAATAAATCTTAAAATGACAGATGGTATGTTGCATTTAATGCTCATTTCGCTTAGACCAGTTATGCGTCGTTTTTGCGTTTTTAATGATTTACAAAAATAGCGTTGCTCATGTACATAATAAACCATTTTAAGCAGTAGACTGAAGTTAAGCAATGAAAAAGTCAAGGTTTGTTTTCTTTCATGGCATCTTTGAGTTGTATACATAAGTTAAACAATAGAAATATTTACCTAGGTCTAAGGGACATATTACAATTTTAGAAAAAAAAATAGTTTATAAAACAAATCAGTGTACCGAAGCAAATGACATGAATCTGTAAAAGTTAAAGGTTCCAATGTATAACTGAAGAATGTCTTCGCCACAAACTTCACACTTGTCGTTGACGTGATAATGACCTTGACATTGTTGCATCTTTTGATGATATTCCAACTCAACGACAGAAACAGATCTCTGGCCGTTGTACCTTTTACCTCTTGAAAATCTTCTGTGTTGTCAAAAACAATGACAAAGTCTTTGTCGTTTTTATGAATGAGCTCTTTAACAATATGCTGGATCCACCAGTCAGATTTGTGTGCGTCGTATACTACTCTTGTGCCTAGTTGAATACAAAAGTACGAATATAATGCACTAATGTTTCCGAATTGTTTTAAGTCTATATCCAGAAGGGTGACATCTGTTATGTAACGAGACAAAAATACGTGCACAAGTCTCGACTTTCCTACTGACCTAAGACCAAATAACCCTAGAATTCTGTGATACTTCCATGCTTTTGCAATTGCTTGCATGTCGAACTCTCTCCCAATAAATTCTGTTTCGACATGAGTCAAAAATTCATCTTCCTTGCTGTCAATTTCCATTTCTTCGTTCTTTGTGTCCATTGCTATTCTTAAGTCGTTGCTGTCAATTTCCGTTAGGTATTTGTCTTTCTTTGTGGTGACAGGAAAGCCTTAAACAGGAAAAATTCATCACTGCTACAGGGAGGATGTATACTCTAAATAGAGAAAAAGAAGAAGAAGAATGTTTTTCTTTTTCCGTTATTGAATTCTGTACATCTCACTTATTGATTTACTTATTCAACGATTATCCAACTGTTTTAAACACGGATTTGTCCTCTTATTTTAAACAAATTTCAATAGGCATATGAGGTGTAGTAAACATTATAAGATCTGAAACAGAAAGTAGCAAAATCGGAATTAATTTCGAAATCGAAAGTAGATATTAGTAAATCAATGGTTCATTGAACGCCTAAATTCTGGGATGGTATGAAAATGTTATGTTTTTAATATTAACCCTTTACCACATATATACGCGAAACAACGCACTTTCGACCCCCCCCCCCTTTTTAAGGCCTCAAATAGTGAAAAAATGTCCTATTTGGACCCCTAACATAAGTTTTCGTTTGAGAAATGTCCCAATTAAAGACTGAGCATGTAGTTACAAAGGCAATGGTCCAGTCAACATTTGTGCCAAGTTTGATTAGTATTGAAGCATTTTTCATAGTTTCATAGCAGTTTGAACTTGTAACAGGAGGCTTTTCAGTGAAAACGGCCATTTTTCACAATATGCTCATGGGGGGAAGGGTTAACTAAAAAATTATAAATGTTACAAAACATCAATTTTTCACCAAAATTAGGTGAAATACGACATGTTAACATGGAAAAACTAGTTTTTAGGTGATTCCAAAGTTTTTCATCATTTTTTGTTAACCCTTTACCACATATATACGCGAAACAACGCACTTTCGCCCCCCCCCCCCTTTTTAAGGCCTCAAATAGTGAAAAAATGTCCTATTTGGACCCCAAACATAAGTTTTCGTTTGAGAAATGTTGCTTAAAAAATTGAGCACTTTTTCGGCGCCACCCCCCATACAAAAGATACATCAGGGGGTTGCCAGAAGGGGGATGTGCCCCCTTCTGATAGGGGGGTTTGAAGGGGGGCGGAGTCCCCCTCATCGCCAAGAAAATTTTGGACTTGTGAGAGGGTAAAAATTACCCCAGGTCGATCATAATGTAACGTTTAACCAACGCTGAAAAGCCTTTGACTCTATCTCAATCCTTTAACATTTCAGCACTTAAAAAAATTTTTAAAAA